TTGGATTTTTGCATAATTTTGCTGTAAATAAGTTTTAAATAAAGTTTGATTAATGCCTAATATTATTTTTTATCAAAACTCAATAGTCAAGAACAATTATTCAGGATAAGAAATGTTCCAATTTTGCAAACATGGTTTTTTAGTAAAATTTACTCCGTTTGCACATTAATAGCAATAATTTCATATTTACATTAGATACAATGAGAAATTATATTTTGTAATCCTCATTGAACTTTATTTAAATTTTTTATTTTTTTTTTTTTTTTTTTTAATTATATTATTTTGAAGTACTTGGCCACACTGGTTTCCATACTTTTTTTTATACAGAAGGCGCGTAAACTTCGTAAAAAATAAATTGTGTCTCTGAAAAATGAAGTTAAACTTTTTTTTTAAATGTACATTACTTAGTCATACCATTTACTGCTTATCTAAGGACACAGTTAACGTAGAATATTATGACACCAAAAAACCAAATATTCATTCATTTGTAGTCATAGTGCACAAAAACCTAAAATAAAATAAAAATAATTAAATTTTAAGAAAAAAAAACATTCCTTAGGTACTACATGGGATAGATTTTTTTTGCATTTTTCTTGGAACAGTCTTAAGCTGTGCTATAAGCCATTTCAGTATGATACATTCATTACCGGACACCCTGTATAAGCGACGACGACGCATCGGCGCGGGCGGCGGCGGCGGGAGCTCGCGCGACTCAGCCCGTTCTATTTCTAAATTGAGACAGTCACTCACTGCCGGTTTCCGCGCATCACCTCTCCGCTAAATATACACATGAAAAATTCTAAAACCCGATAAACGTCGCAAATTAATGATAATAACCCCTAAAAAGTGGATGTTGCGTGATAATGTCAGTAGCGAGAGTACGAAGGTTACATAAAGTTAATACATAACCGAGACCTTGGGAAAAATCAATTCGTTTATGGAGCTTCATTGTGATTTAATATAAAATATCGTTGAATTGTGATATTCGATACAATGTGGTACCAAGGAGAAGAAGAGGAGGACGAGGACCTATTGTGCTCGCCGGCGATTCTCGCCCGGCGAGCGTCCGAGAGCTGGATTAATGTTCCCCCTGTAGAGGTATATTTTCAAAGTGAAGCAGTATAAGTATCAAAACATCGAGGAATTTGAAAAGCGCTTGAAAAACCCCGCTTTTAATTATTTCATTTCTATTTTTAGGATACTTTATATAGTTCTCAAAACAAATTTGGCACCGGCAAATAAATGTTTAACGTTTCCTAAACTTCACTTATAGTTAGTAATATGAACAAAGTCCTTCAACGATCAAAAATCCTGTATGAACACACAGATGTTGAGCACGCCACAGACACTGCAGCGCAAGAAGTCGCTGCCCGATGTGCAGGGCATGCCGCGCATGCCGGACGGCGCGGGTATGTCTCGCGAGGAAGTCTCGGCCCTCGGCTCTGCGCGCCGAGAGGAGGTGCGGCGCATGCACGAAGAGACAGAAAAACTCAGGGCCAACCCTCTACTCTACTTGGTCAGTCCGCAAGTCAAGGTATGCATGTCAATGCGAGTACGCACTTAATTGCTAGCGCAGAAATAAAAAATCAAATATAAAAGAGACATAATGCTACACTAGATCTTTTTTAAAATATACGTATATAAATAGTCTGTCTTTTTTGAAGACGGAGTGACAGTTCATCGCAGTGATTATGGTCGATAAATATTCTATCGACTTTAGACTGAATATTGGTCACGCTTATGGAATAAATAGCCGAACTTGTTTCATTTTGATCATCCTCCACCTATCCATATTTCATCCAATGACAAGTTCATTTGAATTGTCAATTTTTGTAAATTCAAAAATATATATACTCTATTTAGAACTATTTGTACAATACAAGGAGGAGACATATTTTAAAGTTTTTCATTTTAATTCAATATAGCTATTCAAATCCAGCTATTCTTGTTAAAATCTAAGCATATGAATAAAAATTGATCGCAATAGTAGTAGGCCAACTGTCAAAGTAACAATAACGTAATTAGTAATCATTAGAACGTCATAACATTCACAATTCAGTCATTTTTGGCAAATTTTTATCTTCTTTCGCAATCTATCGATAAAACTATTTAAAATTTTATGAAAACTGGCAACCCTACGAATGTCATTTTCTCCGTCTTAAAAAAAGACAGACTATAGGTACATATGTTCACTTGCTTACAATGTGCAATATGGGCCAATTAAATCATGATCAAGATATTTTGTTGGTTGACAGGACTGGTTTTCCCGGCAGCAACTGGTGATCCTAGTGCTCTTTATCAATATCTCGCTGGGCATCATGTTCTTCAAGCTCCTCACGTAGCGTCGGCGCGTGGCGCGCCAGCGCCTTTCTCGATGCTATACACACACACACACTACATTGGTGTTATAACTCTGAACCAAACACTCAAAAGTACTACTTGATGTGAAAGAATAATATGAATATTACATTTTATTACGACCCCTCCTCTTTTTTGATACGAGTTACATTTTAATAAATATCCAAACAAACGTATTTATTTGTCGATAAGGACTTCGGTTTGCTAGTGTACTTTTCTTTGACATTGTGTAAGTGTGCAAAGTATGACAAGTGCAATACTTCCTCGATCAACTTCAATTTCTTAACAAAATTGTGTGAGAGTGAATTTTGTGTCCACGAGTTGGAAAACTTCGAGTGTAAGGAGCACGAATTATTGTTTTAATTGTAAACCTGCATATTGTAGGTTTGTTTGCCCTTGGTAATGTATTTGCAATGGTCACTGTGCCTCGTTGTGCTGCAAAGGACGACATTAAGCTATCAGCTGCAAGAGGCGATGACTTACGTGGAATATTTATGAATATTAGCAACGGCTCTGACGAAGCCGGCTATTTCTAAAACTTTGTAAGCTGCGTCCACACGATGCGACTGTTAACAAACAGTAGTTAGTTTTTCAACTTTAAACATATAGATGTTAAAGTTAATATTACATATTGATAGACCATCTTGTAATTTAAATTATTGAGTAATTTATGAATTGAAAAATCTTATGAAACTCTGTTTCAATTAAATGGATAATGCTTCGTGATTTTAAAAGCACAAATTATGATAGACAACTTGTCTATTTACTTGGAATGTAAATAATGATTAAATTGTTAACCCTTATACAAATGCCTATAGATATACAATTAGAATGTTGCTTGCTATAACTACGTTGGAATAGGTAAATAAAAAGCATGAGCTTTATTTTCCTATTTTGTAAAATAGAAATTTAATTACGGAGTCCCGTACTGAAAGGATGGTACACCACGTTTTTTACAAACTTTAGCTTCGTATTATACCTATGACGTCAATTCTCTCGTAACCGAAGTTTTTTGTATAGATAATGGATATATTTAAATGATATCTAGGTGAAATTGGCGTGGCGAGCGTGTAATGCGACGAGACTGTTGTTACGTATAATACAACGAAAGTTGTGGAGAACGCGCATTCGTTGAAGGTTGAATATTTTATTGTTGCTAAGACAATTTTCACAATTTCATTATACTACGTAAAAATATAAGTTATATCTATAAGAATTTTAATTACTTGTATCAATTTTATCTACGTTTCACAAATAAAATATTTTAACAAAACTATGACGCATTTTTCCTTGCCTTTGCCCTTGAAAAAGTTTTCAGCACCATTATATCATTATAATTAATATTGCTTGTTCATTTCACTTGTTCACACAGTTTAACATTGATTGTTCACGGTTCATTCATTGCATTCAAAAACGTATGAACGTTAACTTAATTATGTGCTTCATGGCTACCAAATTCCATATCCGCGTTGCCTTTTGCATGGGACAAAAGTCCGATCAATTAGATTAATATTGCGGGGCTTCTTTCTTTCAACAAAGTCGCTTAATAACCGGTAGTAGGGAATGAGCTGCGATCTGGACTGCCTGCTAGTGAAGTGATGAAGAAAAATAATAAAGAAACAGCTCGCTATGGCACTCAACAAAAATTGGTAATATAAACTACCCTTCCTACGATGTCAGTACACGACGTCGTTATTATTCTCAGTTCATTTCAAGAAAATAGAAAATGCTTTTTATATTGCATTTATAAAATTTAACTTGGATTTTTCAAATTAATATAATCAATATACAAGCGCAGGTTTATTGCTAAAAATTCTCAATTGTCGCGACAAGATTTACACATTGTGGGGTGCAACGTATGGGTTCACTCAAACTCGTACAAAATCGCATTTTTGAATTTTAAAAACTACTGTACAAGGTTGTGTTAATAATATTGATAGTGTTGAAGATCGAAGCGTACACTTGTTCCAATAAAGCCACGTCAGTAGTATAACTACAATCGTAAAAATAATGATGTACTACTAAATTAAACAAACGTATAATATAAGTGAAATTTTTAAAGTCTCCTATTTAAACATAAAAAAAGTTATCAAGTAATTTCGCTTGAGATAATGTCATTTTACAGATGTGGCCTTATCACACCAAAAGTGCAAATTATAAAACTTTTGATAACATTGTGATTTAAGCCTTGCAACAAGTGAAAGATAAAAAACGTAACGATTGTTATAGGTTTCGGAAACAAATGACGACCCCATAGATCTAGATGATCTTTTACCAAAAATAGGAGAGTTCGGTTTGTACCAAAAACTTCTGCTCTGGCTTGTGTGCCTACCAGCATGTCTGCCGTGTGGATTCTGTGCCTTTAACCAGCTGTTCATGACCGACGTGCCTGACCACTGGTGTAAGGTCCCCGAGTTAATGGAGCTCAACTTGACGCAGCTGGAACGTAAAGTTCTCTCGATACCACGCAAGGTACATTAACTCAATTAAACCATTATTGTACTAAATCCTATTTTTTCTACACACACGGTGAGTGTTTTTTCTGTACGCCTCTAGTTTTTTTTATAGTACCAAGTGACAGGACGAACAAGTCAAATAAGCGACACGCCAATTGTAACAGTTGCAGTGCCACTCAGAATTTTAAATCACAAAGATCTGAGGGGCACTGCCGCTTCGCCTGTCACCATGAGACATAAGTCGACAAGTCTCATATGCCTGTAATTTCACCAGCACCCTTACCCTTCTAAACCAAAACGCATTAATGCTCATATTACGCAAAATAGGCGCTTTGTCGTCGAGTTGCGGATACCAGCCCGTTGCACCAAGTACCAAGTAGTGCTTCTCGGCAGAAATAGGTAAGGTTGCAGTACTTTCCTGGACGAACTCTTTCTCAAGGAGCTCTACTGCTTTTAAAACCTTCTGTCACTAAAAGCTTGTTACACCAGCACCATGCTCGACATTTTTAAGGGCATATTAATTCCTACATAAGTGAATATCATGGTAATACAACATCGTGTTATTCAATAAACTTAATTTATTCATTCATTATAGTATAAAAGTAACGGGACTTAGTCGCGTAGGTCATCAGGGGTTGATTACAAAGTTCGCGACCGCGTCACGTTTAGCAACTCACCCCCTGATGAAGACCATCGATTATGGTCGAAACTAGTCGGACCGCTTCCGACTAAAATACTACGCGAGTAAGTCCCGTTACTCTTATACTATAATGTGTGATAACCGCCTTACGATTCATTCATTGTTCATGTGGTAACCACTTAGGTATGTACGTTTCGAAAAATAAGATTATAATCGATTTTCTTAGCAGTAATTTTCTTTCATATCGACCAAAAATATATATCAGGCTAATTGATAAAGTGTCAAATACTTATAAGGGTATAGTCACCATAAATATTTTTTATATAACCAGGTAAAAATTTCTAATGGTTCCAGGCAGACGACAACACGACTTTCGAAAAATGCCTACGCTACTCTCTGAATTGGAGCGAGGTGTTACAAACGAGAAAACCTATAGCTATGGACAGCAATTATAATTATTCGGTAGAGCCCTGCTTAGATGGCCATGAATACGATACATCGGAAGTAGAATCTTCTGTCGTAATCGATGTAAGTTGTGGGCGAATTAATTAACTTAGCTATTTTTTATTAACGAAATGAAATATAATTTAATGACTAGGATTTACAGGACATTAAATTACGGAAATTATACTACATTAAGCTTATGTAGTATATTTAAACGGGTAAGTAATCAAAAATAGTTTTTCTGTTTTGACTCTTCTAGTAAAATTTACCGATTATAGGAGCCAGTTTCCTAGTCACCTGTATGTAATCCAAATCGCCTCGTCGAACACTTAAAATTTAAAAGTTATAAAGCAGCTATACTTGTATTCAAAATTAATACAAATCTGAAATTAAAATAATAAATTGCAATTGGTTAAATTAAAAAATTGAAATAAAGTTTTGTTTAGATAACGATTATAAATGAAAGAACATTTTTATACATATCAAATAACGAGTTCTTGGGTTTTCGCAATTATTACACATGGGAGAGGAAACTTTTTTTTCGGATCTGAATCGCGTATGTGTGCACACGGTGCGCACAGTGGCCAAAGCACGTACATTTCAATCCTACGTCACGTTTTCGAATCGCCTTTACTACATGAAAACGTATATAAAAATATACTACACTTTCACGGAATCTATCGGTAGCACGAATCCCCACGAATCACTCTGGTTAACTCGATAGGTAAACGCTCTTATCGACAGAATGGTAGGGTCCGATACCTAATACTAAGATAAATCAATTCGTATTATTCCAATTATACTAATTTTTAATAACTTCAAAATATAAATAACACCATTAATATTACAAAAAACTCCACATAAAATGTGACTCAGTCGACCTTGACCGTAACCGTGTAAAGGGCCTCAAAACGTTGATTTGTTTGAAAAAACAAATGTACGCGATTTACATCTGAAAAAAAAGTTTAATTTCATAAATATAAATAAATTTATCGCAAGATTTTCAAACAAAACACATCCATCATATGAAAAGTATTATATTATCTAAAATTATTTTGTCTTACAGTTCGACTTAGTGTGCGATTATGAGTTGTACCCAACTCTTGGTTTAGTCGCACTCAATGTTGGAGGACTAATTGGCGTGTATTGTTTTGGTCTCCTCAATGACCGAGTAGGGAGAAAGAAGTCATTTTTCGCCTGTCTCACTAATTTGCTGGTGGGTAGTATTATGACCGCGTATGCTCAAACTTACTGGTTCTGGGTACTGGCTAGAACCATAGTGGGGTTAAGTATCCCGGCCGTATATCAGATTCCATTCATTATATGTAAGTAACATTTTCTATAACTTAATTTTTTTAAGAGATCAAGTAAAGAGTCGAATAAGTCGTGCGCCTGTTAGTAATCGACACGCCCACCCATAACAGTTGCAGTGCCACTCATAGCTTTAAATCGCAAAGATCTGAGGCATACTACCACTGCGCCCATCATTCTGAGACATAAGATAACACAAACCCCATGTGCCTGCAATTGACCGGTACACTTAGGCTCATCTCACACTGGCGCAGAGTCGAGGTGTCGCGACGCGTCATATTTTTCGCCTATAGCATATTCATCTCTATTTTCCCATTATTAAGGTACAAATTTGTATTAATTAAATTTTTATTGAACTGATATTCAATTTTTTTTTGAAATTACTCCACTAGTTTGTTATAATTATTAATACAAAGATCGAACACTCAGAAAAAAAGGATTGAAGGATTTTTTTCTGAGTGTTCGATCTGTGTATTAATAATTGTACAAATTTGTGTTATGCAAATATGGAATCGCGCGTTCCTTGCGTGAGTGAGGCGTCAGACGCCGACCAAACTGTGATCAGGGCGCGCTAATGCGTTGTAATTGAAAAACAGAACGCGACGCGACGCTTCAACTCTGCGCCAGTGTAAGTTGAGCCTTACTCTTCAAAGCTGGAACGCAACAATGTTTACATTACTGCTTGGAGAAAGAAATAGGTACGGGGGCAGTATTTCCCTGGACGAACTCTATCATAAGAAACTCTACTGTTATTAAAACTGTTACTAAAGAAATTAGGTTAAGTTATCTTCAAAAAGTCGACTAACTAACTTACATGTTGCTTCTTTACAGCATTAGAATTGGCTGGTCCTAATTATCGATCTTTCGTTACTATCATGACGTGTGTATTTTACACTTTGGGTTTAATACTTTTATCTGGAGTCACGTATTTATTGAGAGATTGGAGATCACTCTCCTTAGCCACATCAGTTCCATTTATAAGTTATTACTTGTACTGGTTCTTCTTACCAGAATCACCCAGGTGGTTACTTCTGAAGGGAAAACTAGAGGAAGCAAACGAAATTTTAAAATCAATAGCTAAAGTAAACGACAAAGAACTGCCAGAAGAATACACAACCAAATTGCACAAACAAGTTTTGGAGCAAAAGGAAAAGGGAGGAGTGACAGAAAAATCAGCTAGCGTTTTTGCTCTCTGTCGAACTCCGAACATGAGGCTTAAAACTTGTTTAATCACTCTCAATTGGTGTGCGTCAGAGATGGTATATGTTGGAATGTGCTACTATGGACCGGCACTTGGAAGCAATCAGTATATGAGTTTTTTCCTGTCGTCGGCGGTAGAAATACCAAGCTATGTGATTTGTTGGCTGATCATGGATCGCGTTGGACGTCGTTGGCCGCTTTGTCTGTCAATGATTTTTAGCGGAATATTTTGCATGATCACTGTATTATTACCAAACGGTGAGCATTTATTGTCAATTTTTATTTATGTAAATACTGTACATAGCAAATTGAGATAGTGCCCTGGTAACAGCCTAACTTTTCCAGATGCTCAAACGGAAACCCTTGTCTTGTACCTTATTTCCAAATGTTTTATATCCGCGTCCTTCCTGATAATATATCCGTACGCGGGTGAGTTGTATCCGACGGAGTTGCGAGGAGTTGGAATAGGAACGTCAGCATACATAGGCGGCTTGGGCTTGATTGTAATCCCTTTTATAAATTACTTGGTAAGACGACCAGACCGTTGTGTGTAATGTAGTGTGTAGTATAATCTACTGTGTTTAACGCAGCTTGTTCATTGAAATAACATTTTCCCAGTTCACCGTTGTCGGTGATTTTAAAACACATCAGCCGTCACTCATAATGCCTAACAAACGAAAAGCTTTTTAATCTTAGACATATTTCAATGTAATGTAGTCCATATACCTCTATCTGCGATATAATGAGTTTCTCACTTAAGAGCCTATGCACACGGCGTATTTTTAACGCGCCGTCGACGCGTGCATACGCGCCGTAAACGCGCGCCATCTGCGCGTATACGCGCCGTAAACGTGGGCCATCTGCGCGTATACGCTCCGCAGACGCGCTGTAGTCGCGCGTATGTATCGCGCATTTTGATAAAAGATAGTTTTATTTTTAGTTTTGTTTGCTAATTTCAGTTAGTTTTTTGAAATTAAGCAACTACATGAAATTCTAAGTTTAAACGCCAGTGGAGTATATAAGCTTCTTGCTTGCAACGCGATGTTTGCGCGCGTTTGAATCCATTCTACAGCACGTCTGCCGAGCGTGTATGCGCATATGACGCAGACGCGCGTTTACGGCGCCATAAAAGCGCGTTTGTGAATCGCGCGTCTTCAGTGCATATAGAATACGCCGTGTGCATAGGCTCTAAGTATTGTTCATTTAGCACAGCCGATAATACTATCGCATAAAATAGCGATTATAAAAACGATAAGCAGAAGATCCTACCTTCCACGCATTTATCACATTCATATATTATGATACATTTTAGCTACTTCATTGGTAAAATTAGTAATTTATCATATAAAGCATTAACATATGAGTCTGAATACTAAATAAGTGCCAAAGTAATGTCACGTTCTTTGAAATCACCAGGGTTCAAGCAATCTTGTGCTACCACTGCTGGTGATGGGCGCTGTGTCTGTGGTGGGCGGCATAACAGCCCTCCGGCTTCCAGAGACATTAAATTGCCCAATGCCACAAACAGCTGAAGAAGGCGAGGAATTTGGCAAAGACTGGACTTATAAGGACTGTTTCGTATGCGGTGAACAAAGGTATATCTCTCATGTAATAAGTATAAACAAGTTCATTGTCATAATTTTATGTCACGTATTTTGAAATTCCAATCGCAAATGTCTGCCCTGTACATAGGGCGCACTATAATTTTCCGGAACTGGCCACTTACATACCTACATACACAATATTTAAAAAATAATTAGAACATTTGAAAATGGACTCTTTGGCTGTATAATACAGTTTGTTTCATCAGACTGTCACTTGTTTTTACATTGTGGCGTTATTCTAGAAATTGGTTGTCGACATCACCATGGATTTAACTCGTGAAAATTTTCGTAGTATGATTTTCTACGACTTTAAGTGTAATTTAACAGCTCACCGGAGCTTCGATCGGCTTCAAATTTTTTTTGGCGATGAAGCACCATGCAAGACCACTATTTATAGTTGGTTTGCAGAATTCAAACGTGGTCGTGTGAATCTCAGTGACGAATTTCGTGATGGTCGCCCGTCCACTGCTGTGAACAACAAATTCAAACAAAAAACATCGATGCTATGCGCCGTACGATCAAAACAGACATGAGATTCGGGCATCTTTAGGCATAGGCATGAATAAAAAACAATGAATACTACACAAACATTTGGGTGTGTAAAACCCGTGCTCTCGATGGATCCCACACAATTTGACTGAGGCTCAATAAACGGATCGCGTCACTTTGTGCAATGCCATGCTTACCAGATTCAATGCAGAGGTCTCAAATGTGGTGTGGGACATAGCAGGTGATGAAACGTGGATTTATAGTTACGATCCCAAAACAAAGCAGCAATCGAGCGTGTGGGTCTTTCGAGATGAGCCGAAACCAACCAAAAAGGCGCGCGTGCAAAGTGCCTCTAAGCAGATGATTGCTTCTTTTTTTAATAAAACTGGACACGTGGCTACTGTTGCTTTGGAAAATCGTTGTAACGTGAATTGTGATTGGTACACGACCATTTGTTTACCGGAAGTTATTGACAAACTCCGTAAAAGTAACCGTAAACGCCGTATCATCTTGCACCACGATAATGTCAGTTTTCACAACGTCAGACAGACAAATGAATTTTTGAAGGTGAACAACGTTGACCTTATGAGCCATCCCGTGTACAGTCCCGACCTGGCACCTTGTGACTTTTATTTATTTCCAAAAATTAAGAACCAGTTACACGGTCAACGATTTTCATCACCTGAAGAGGCTGTCGAAGAGTATGAAAAATATGTTTCAGAGATTGTCACGGAGGAGTGGCATAAATGTTTTCAAAATTGGTTCATTCGCATGAAAAAGTACATTGACGCTAACGGAGAATATTTTGAGAAACAATAAATTCATTTCTGACCATTTATAGTACTTTTTTCTTATTCATACCGGAAATTTATAGTGCGCACCACGTATCTCAAATTATTATAAGATTATACTGTGTTTAATTCTATATAACAAAGTGTACAATATATATAGGTAAGCTAAACAGCCACACGTTTCAAACTATACAATTTCCCATTTAAACACACGAGTATTGTAGCTTTATATGGAAAACTGTCATTTTATCGTAGTCTTGTGTAGAGTGTGACTAGTATAACGTTACGAATAACCGAATGCGTTTGACCTACAGCAGCTATCGGCAAATAGATGGAAGGCGTAGTGCCAATATTTTAATAGTGTTTACTCCGTCCAACCGTTGTCCTAATGCGTTTCCGTTTCGATTTTTTTATAACTGTATGTGTGAACTTTCTAATCCACATTGGGCCCGTATGGGAACCGCAGCCCTCTCACTGTGAGATTTACATAGACGTATACATAGACTAACTATATACAGTTTTTCATGTTGGCTAACTAGGTATATAATTGCTAACTTACTCAATCAGGCGTTTCAACTATTTCTAAAACTAAATAATGTCTTATAATATTTAATACTGAAATAGGGGTATAGCTCTAATGCATTGCGAGAGGTACTTTTAATAATTTCAAACTGGAATAATCCTTAAAAATATACTTTATTTCAGTTTTTTACATAATTTTAGTATTGCGTTACAAATCAATCTCAATGTCTGTCAAGATCTTCTATTCTTACTTATTACATTTCTTCGAAAGCATTCTAAATACAAACTAACTCATTCAGCCAGATATTCTACTCATAGAGTACAGCCTAGTCTACAATACATTATATTGGTAAAACTTTTAACATTAATTCATTATACTAGCTTATAATATTCCGAGTGAAATAGATAATTGATCACTAATTTACACACCTTGCATAGCCACTACTAGTGTAGTGCTGCCACCGTGCATACGTATATATTTTAGCGCTAAATATGGGAAAATAATTAATTGGACTGTGTTTCAAACACTCTGGAAAGAAATGATTAAAAACAATTCATTCAACAAGTCTTTTATTGTTCATGAAGTATTATTTTTTTTTTTTTAAGTGACGGGACAAACGAGTTGTGCGCCTGGTGGCAAGCACTACGCTTATCCGCGACAATTGCAGTGCTATTCAAACTTTGAATTGCAAAGATCTTAGAGGCACACCTAATACTATTACTTTTTTTCTAATAAAGTTTAAGGACGACCTTGGGCTCTCCTGTAAATTTTTCTCAAAAGCACTTACTAGGTTTTGTTACGGGGCAGCCGAACACTCTTGCGACTATGGTTTTAACACTCAATTCCATTCGTCAAAAAACCGACAACCAGGCGGTGGACACGGAGCTCACGACGAGCGGCTCGGCTCGCTGTACTAACTATAGAACGCTCACATCGTAACTCGCACGTTACGCTGAAATAAACTTGTCAATCATCACCTTAGCAATTTGTATAGACACAGTGAAACTTGTTTTATCGTATACGTTACATCCACAGAAAAGTAACCGACTCAGAATCATACGAGAATCTGGACAGACTGGAACTAAAACAAGCGCCTTTAGCTGACGATGAAGTGCCTGAATTGTCCAACCTAAGAAGAAGTTCCATGCGGAAATTAGTCAGGCAAGCCAGCGTTCTGGAGACCCAAAGAGACATCGACGGAAATATCAAAATGACTTATTGGTTCTAATATTTTGTACAATAAGTTTTTATGTATTTACTTAATTTTATGAATATTGAACGCTAAATGCAGACCAGTCACTCACAGAATGTATCTCAGAACAGTATAATAATTGTTGTACTAAGTAACCCCTTGGCAAAGAGGGCTAAAACTTTGTACTCATATGGCAGATTTAATAAATAACACTTTTTAGTAGGTAAAGTTGTTGTTCATAGGAGTAGAGTAAGCCACAAGGATTGATATTAAGTACAAGCGATACCCAAATGTTACAGGCCTTATTAAAAAAAGATATAAAACTAATATAATGTAATTTTCAATTTTTCAATTTTCGAATTTTTTTTTATAATCTCAGTACAGAGTACTAAAAAAACCGACCTCAAAATTTCGTGGAATTACAACAATCTATTTGCCAAGTTTTATTGAAATTGGTTACCGGAACCACTACAGAGTTACCTTCTTTCCAACAAAAAAAAAGAATCATCAAAATCGGGTCACATATGTGCATGGTAAGGTAATGGTTATCGCGTAACATACATAAAGACGAAGTCGTTCGACTGACGCACCGTCACCACATAGATCAAGGAAGTGGAGGCAAATGTCATATGATGATGGGGATCAATTGTGGTAGGTAGGTACCCATCTCGCCCTACGACTGGAACTTGCCGCCCACCCTTCATGCGCCCGCGTATCATTATTTTCTTGAGTATTTTGACGACGAATCGACGAAAAAGATCTCGATTAGTTAGTATTTTACGTTAATTAATAATAAGTTCATATTTTGTTATATTTCATGTGAAACATGTGATAAACTTAAAGTTTCATTAATATAGTTGATATTGTTGCTTTATAAGTCGCCTTTTATTCAAAATTTTTATTAAGTCATAAAAAAACGCTAACGCTTTAGTAAGGTTCATGACAGGTTGGTTTTTTTTGTATTTTTTTCTTTTTACTAATGGCATAAATGCTTAAAAAATGCAACATCAAATCCAATCACAAAAAATAATTTTCTCGTGCTGAAAGAGATATAGCGTCTTAGGAATTCCATTCCTAATCCTAATCCATAGCCGTTTGCCATATATATGCAACCCCAGACTATTACCGCCGTCCACTAATTAAAACGCGGCAAACGATAGAGCACAGAATTATCTATCAAAAACTGTTAAAATTAGTTAACGTGTTCGACTTCTCGGAACTTACCCTAACGATGCATAGCTGAAATACCATTAAACAGTTTCAATATTGTAAAACTAGGTTGTGGTTTTTTTTTATAATATCTCTAAAAATATTTTGTCAATACATTATAAGTCCTACTGGTGAACACGGGTCTCTTCTACGAAAAATGTTAAGAGTTGGTTTAAAGTAAGATTTCGTAGGATTAAGTTGTAAGATGTGACATGGGTTATTATTTGTAGTTTGACTTACACAACTTTATTCTTTTGCAAATTGTGACAAAAGAATAGTGTAAATTTTTGTGAACTTTTAAATTTCGTGAATTAATAACAATCGATAATTCACCGTGTTTGTGTAAACTAATGTTTGTATTGAATATCGAAATCAAAGTACTTAGATAACGTAATAATTTCAATCGCTTAATTTTATAAATATTCATAAATACGTATTATTTATAAGTACATTTTTAGATTGCCACTCATTAAAACCTAAGATTACACAGTCCTTATTAACATTTGAGTACAAACCACTACGAGTTGGACACGAATGTGAAATTCTTTTGTATGAAAACAAGGCCTTAACACAACGTAACACCGAAGTACGTTCAGATCACAGTGAAGACCATAAATTTTTAGGTTTATAATCTATGTACATACCATTATAAATATCTTATTATAGGCACTTTTGTGTACTACACTTGGCAACTCATAAAGCAATATAAAAAAAATTAACGCTTTATAGACGTAAAACATATTAATAATTTTTTTTACAGCTCGTTTATTTCAAGAGGTACCGTACCTACAAGACGCGCCAGTTATTTGCGCTATGTAAATTTATTACAACTCTTTGAATCCAGACATCATTGCTGTCCCATTGACGACGGAATTCTCTTGACTACAGCATCCTGTCACTACGGCCAAGACACCTTTAGCCGTCAGCTTATCTGATCAGTGTTGTGACTCATTGAGAAAATCCATTCCTTGCACCCCTCATCCTTTCCCACCTTCAGTCTGTTACCACACACGGTAACAGTGCTCCTCTACTATCTATATACGTGTATGTAGTAGATTATGGTTAGGGCTATACTCCATTTGTTTAGGTATGCACTTAACTAAATGTAAACAATCTTGAGATGACTATTTAATGAAATATACATTTATAAAATGGTTACTTACTTTACTTACCTTCTTACCTTACTTACTTACTTACCTTCAAATACAAAATACAAATACTTAGCTTCATATGAAATTACATGCCTATTTTTATACGTATTGATTTATAGAATATATGTTATTAGTAGGTACTATTATTAACTGTTACCATACCGGACTGTCACGCAGAGGTCCCCGAGTTCGATTCCCGGGCCGGGAGAAATATTTGTATGGCCTACATTTATTTCTCTCGTGAGTTTGGGTGTAATTTGTGGTTGTCTATGTGTGTGTCCATGGCACCCGCGACACAGGGTTTCCCTAGTGCGGGGCTATGTTGAGTGTGTGCGTTATTATTATTATTGCGTTGTATAATGCTCTTGTAAGAAGCCTCCTTGAGTGCAATGCGGTAGTCTGGGCTCCACATCAAACGCGGTATAATCTTATGCTGGAGCGCATCCAAAACAAATTCCTGAGATATCTGTACTGGAGGCAATACGGGGTTTACGCCTTTTACCCCCTGATGTATCCTAATCTGTTCATTTTGGGTACGGTAGGATACAACGAGCTTCACGTGCGCAGGAACTTAGCGTTAACAGTGTACGTGTTGAAGGTTATCAGAGGTATGCTATGCAATCCGATGCTGCTAGGGGTATTATTAGGCTTATGTGTTCCTGATAGGTACGTTGTCGGACGACGTCGCCGTCCACCGCTACTGGCAGTGTCGCGTGGAAGGACAAATCTCATGACGGTATTTCCGCTAACGCGCACACTGCACACCTGAACGAAATATCGAATAGAATCGATCTGTTCCATTGTTCTCTGAGTGAATTCACAAAGATAGCGCTTTATATCTTGTGTTACATGTAGTAATTTTGCTGGTCTATTGCATTGGGTGGACAACCAGTAATAATAGGTTAAGTTTGGAAATAAATAAATGAATAAATTAAATTAAATAAAAATGTTTCAATTAAAAGTTGTATCACTAAGTATTGTTTACATTTAGTTAAGTATACAAACAAATGGACTATGCTGCTTGGTAGGAACGTAGGGTTGTTTGTGGTAGGTTACAACTGTCCCTCACCTCTTTATAGCTTCTTTATAGTAAATTGCCGGAAGAACCAGAATTGTCAAAAATGACTGACAATGAAAGATTAGGCTCTTAAACCGACATTTATCATAATTGATAATGTTATCAAATACATACGTATTTATCTTTCAACAGCTCAATCTATAACTCTTATCGGTATATCAAGTTTCGGAACACAAAAGTGAACATTACAAGAGCAAACACATGCAGAAAAGGCTATTGAAAGTGTATAGAAGTGTGGTCACACTAAACTAATTTTGCTATTTTGTTGGGTTTGCTATACGTCATTAAAATAGCTATCCGCAGAATTACATATTATTTGAATGTATTCTAACCGAGATCAATAGCTTCTAAGTCTACGTAAATAAACAAAAAGAAAGAAATCGGTATCAGGATTAACTTGTAAAGTATTATAATTTTAGTTTAATATACTATTATTATTTCCTTGCAACGAAAATATGTTAAACACGTCATCATCACGTAAAATCATTTTAACACATCATCCATTGTAATGACTATGGATCGTATTCCAGAACTCTACTCAGGACTTGAGTATGATGTCGAGCACTGGAAATATGACCCTAATGGCAAGGAGTTGACTATGATTTCGAGTGCTTGAAATCATACTCAAGTCCTGACTTGAAATGACACGCATGAAATTCTGCAACATCGCAATATAAACAAAAATATAATGGTAACACTTAGCATCACTTGTCAAAATTCTGTTTGATTTGTCGATTTGTCAATTCTTCATAACCTTTCATTCCAACAAAAATACCATTCCGTTGCTTTGTTTCATGGTGAAGTGTGTGTTAAAATAAATTTCTGTCGAATTTAAACAATTGAAAATGTTTGTTTCTCGACGGAAAGTGGTCTCCTTTTTAGTTTTAGCGTGTGTTGCAGTAGTAACGCTTGGTCATTCTCATTCGCACTCTCATTCGAATTCAGAAGAACCGCCTTCGTTCAAGTATTCTAAAAGTGCAAACGAACAATACAAAAAGGAAACTACAAGACAAGAACAAAAAGCTACAGAACCCAATTACGACTTGTATGTAAGAGCCTTAGGCTCTACAGTTTTTATCAGCATAGTACCATTTCTTATTTTATTTTTTATTCCGATCGACGGAACTATTGAAAAGCAACCGTTACTCAAGGTTTTATTGTCATTCGCGTCTGGTGGGTTGCTAGGAGACGCGTTTTTACACTTGATACCCCACGCGCTGGTCGCCAGCACCGAAGAGAGTGGCCGTAGTCACAGCCACAGCCACTCGCACGACGACGAGCACCACGAACCGCATGATCTCACTGTAGGTCTTGGAGTACTTGGTGGAATAATTACTTTCCTTGTTGTAGAAAAATTTGTTCGCATGTTTGATGGTGGTCACAACCATTCTCATGCAGGTGGTGATAAGAAAAAGAATGATGATAAAACCAAGAAAGCTAAGAAAAACAAAAAAGATGATATCAAAATTGCTGGATATTTAAACCTAGCTGCAGACTTTACCCATAACTTTACTGATGGATTAGCTATTGGAGCTTCTTATATTGCTGGTGCAAGCATTGGATATATCACAACAGTAACAATACTGTTACATGAGATTCCTCATGAAATTGGAGACTTTGCTATACTTGTGCAATCGGGTTGCTCGCGGAGGAAAGCAATGCTGTTGCAGTTACTGACTGCTTTTGGAGCTATATCAGGGACTATGATCTCAATATACCTTCAAGGTTCCGGTGATGGATTGGTCTCATCCCTCATCTTGCCATTTACAGCCGGAGGTTTTATTTATATAGCCACCGTATCTGTGATTCCAGAACTACTAGAAGGTTCAAATAAACTATCTCAGTCTATTAAAGAAATTTTAGCTCTATTAGCTGGTGTCTATATGATGGTCCTTATTGCTAAGTATGAATAAGGAGTAATTCCTCAAAAGAGTATAAATTATTTTTACTTCTCATGTATACTTAAACGACTATCAGTAAAATGCATAAAACATCACATCAAATTTCTGAATGCTTGTGTTAATTCACCAATAAAACCACAGCTAATCATGTAACTGATATTGATAAGAGTCAGATGTAAAGGGTGTATAGTTAATTATGTGGTTGGTTTTGTACCAAGCCAAGTCTTGTGATGTGTGAAAAATAAATATGTATATAATCATACTGATTATATTGTTTGTTCGTAATATAAAGTACTACTCATATCACTGAACCACTTTTGTTATAAGACCTGTATTCTAACTTTCCAAGTATTCATCTTGCAAATTACATATGGCATTATATGGGTCCCATAGGGAAAGCTGCTCATTATCATGGGTAAAATCACCTCATGTATCACTTTTACTTTTTTTTTACACCTTGTATAGTGTATTAAAATTAACTACCACTTAAGTTCTGTTATGAGAGGGATAGTAGTTTTAATTAATTCCTATTTATGTTACTTATTAGAATAATTTCACATAAATACAGCGATCAAAACACTTCCCCTCTCATTTCAAATTACTAAGTTATGTCTGTCTATGATATCAGACATGTTTTGTGAATAGATCAAATCATTTTCTGAATAAGCATGTCTTAATTTTGTTAACAAATATACAGGTCATTGAATGACAATTCAAGTACTTGTATAGTAATTTCAGTGGCAATTGTTATTTAAATATTGTAGAATATTATCATGAACTAATATTTAATATTTGAGTGTCGTCAACGTGAAAAAATATCTAACATTTAATGATACTATACTCAAATATTTAAATAAGCAAAATTGCCACTGAAATTAGGTAGAAAAAACTAATTGTCCCTATTGTTGAGTGTGAATCTCTGTGTTCGAATAGTAATAATCTCTAATTATCGAGCCTTTGCAATAGGGTTAGCTTAAGTAATTTAAGTGAATACCAGATTAAAAGGCATAAAATGGAGTGAAAAGGGTTTTATTGCAAATTATTACTTCTTCTTAGATACACCAACAGTCCTTCCTCTTCTGCCAGTGGTCTTAGTGTGCTGACCACGCACTCGCAAACCCCAGTAGTGACGCATGCCTCTGTGTGCACGGATCTTCTTGAGTCTCTCCAAATCCTCACGAAGCTTAGAGTCTAAGTTCGACGAGGTCAATTGACTGTACTTGCCATCAACAATATCCTTTTGTCTGTTCAAGAACCAGTCTGGGATTTTGTATTGCCTGGGATTGGACATGATAGTCACAATCTTTTCAACCTGAAACAAAATAACATTATGAGAACATTTGTGCATTACTCTACAAACTCCAAGGATATAGCCGAACCCTTCAAACATTGACTAGATTACAATTTCAGTAGATTAGCACTATTTTTTTGAAAATGTTAAGATGCTTTTAACTTACATCACTCAAATGTTACAAGATATGATCAGTTCAGAACGCACTGAAGAGGTTATTGCACTAATTGCATTTTCAATGCACTAATCGCAGTTTCGGTGAGAGTATAACAGCACTCAGAACAGTAAATTAAGTAAAGGTCTGATTTAGAAAAGTCATATACGGATTAAAAGTAAAAATGCATACCTCTTCCTCCGTGCATTCTCCTGCACGTTTGTCGAGGTCAATATCTGCCTTCTTCAAGACAATGTTGGAGTACCTGCGTCCAACTCCTTTGATGGCAGTCATAGCGAACATCACTTTGCGTTTGCCATCAATGTTCGTATTCATAATACGAAGAATATGTTGAAACTTGTCGGGTATTACGAGCGACTGAAACAAGACATCACAAATCATTTTTTATGGAAATATGTTCACACCTGTATTACATTGTACAATATCATAAACTTGCTTAATACTACAGTAAATCAATAACATGATTGCTATAAAATTTAGAGATTTGTGTACCATTTCGGCGAGTTTTATCAGCCAAAAAGTCAGTCAAACAACACCACAACACGAAAGAAAGAGCTGTCAAATATCCCGCTGACAATTGACAGTTCAATAAAAGTATTGCCATTAAGATTTAACTATATCTACTAATTACTAAAATGTTAGGGGAGATATAATTCACATTGTATTTGATTCCAAGGTTTCTTAACAACGATTTCATACTAGAAATAGGTTTTTACCCGATAAATGTCCGTCAAAGAATAAATATTAGTGTTACAACGAATAGTCTTTCGCCTTTAGGCTGAATACCGAATATTCGGCCGGGAACGACGTCGAATAGCCGAATATTCGGCCTAATTAATAATCATACGAAAATTGACGCGCAAACTGCATTATGGCAAAGATAGCTATACACACACACACATATATATTATATAAGTTAAATTAAATTAAACCAGTAATGATGCATAGTTTTGTAAAAACAAACAAAAAGGAAAATTTATTTTTAAGTTTATAATACAAATTTATGACATTTTAATGAAGAAAGTAATTGTTTATTTCACTTCAGTTTCATTAACTTTCAAAAACTTAATTTTATTTTCATTTGCAAATAATAAGTACTAGGTTGATTTTGTTAGCGTTTATTTAATCGTGATTTTATGACAAAATTATATAATAAGTAATAAATCAAATTAACACTAGGGAGTGTTATTACCTATTTTTATCTCATAGAAGTTACTATTTGTGACAATTTACTGTATTTTCTTATGTCTTCCTCCTTGAGTTAGGTATTCGGCCGAATAGTGATTTAATATTCGGTACTCGGCCGAATAGGTAAAAATAGGCCGAATAAGCCAAATACTGCATAGTAACCGAATATTCTCCAATAAATGTCCATTTTTATTGGGTATTTATCCTAAAACATGGATATTTATTTTTAGTTTTAGTTTATTATAATAAAATTCATTAGCATTCATTTTTTATTAAATAATTACCTACGATTACTTCTGATTTTGCCATTATTTTAGTAAAGGCTGCGACTCCACCAGATATGGTGGAAATGTTTTTAAGTCTTTACTTAAGTTAGATACCTGCGAGTGCCCGCGAGTGCCTCTGAGACACTCAAAGGCACTCGCGGGCACTAAAAGGCAATAAAAGGCACTCAAGACACTCAAAGGCACTCAAGGCACATCAACGCACTCACTGGCACTCAAAAGCACTCCTGGCTCTCGCGAGCACTCAAAGGCACACGCGGGCACTCAAAGGCACTCGCGGGCTCTCTCAGGCACTCGCGGGCTCTCTCAGGCACTCGTGGGCTCTCACGGGCATTCCTGGCTCTCGCGAGCACTTGTGGGCTCTCAGAGGCACTCGCACGCACGTCTTGCTACCTCGCACTTCTCTGGTGGAATCGCAGCCTAATCGAATCATGAATGTTACATTGCAGGCGAATGCTCGCCGGTGAAGGAGGTAGTTTGTAATGTAATGCTCGCAAACGAATCTTGAATGTTACATTACAGGCGAATGTTCTCGGTGAGGTTTCTCGGTCCTTATTCTATATACGAAGCCGAACAAATGAACAAAAACGGACCAACTTACTAACTTTTTTTTTAACAAATTACGCATTTAAATAATAATAAGGTTCACGCAAAAATACAGGGATTTACGGTACTTAAAAGGATTCTTTTTATCACTGCGTATAGAAAAAAGGTATAACAAGCAATATACTACACATACGTGCTATTAAATTTTATCAATATTTACAATTAAACATAAAAGTACAATTTGTTTCACTAAATATAAATAATAAACCACGATCAAAAATATTTACTCACATTTTTGGGTAAATATCGAGTAAAAATGGATAAATATGGATATTTATCCATTGCCAATAGTTTAAAAGAAAAAGAAGAAAACTTTAGGCCGGTATAGTACAGTCTACATTTTACAATATCATGCAGTCGAAATTAACTGCACACAGTTGACGCCACGCTCCAAGCCTATCAACTCAGTGTAAAGTAATTAGTAGTTTTATGTAGATTATTAGGTAAACGTTACCAGGATTGAGCGTTTGTATTCTTGGGTTATGTTATAATTATAACATAAAATTGTTCTAAAAAGTTCTTTAAGTTATTTAACGTACAAGGATATTTTTTTACAATTAATAATTATAAGGTTAAGACCCGAATCAGGTGCTAAATAAACGTGTAATAAAAATGAGATGAGATCTATGAGATGACGTTTTGAGAGTTATTGTAGTTTGTTTTAAAGACTATCCGAGCCATGCCCGGGACGTGGACGGGGCGTGCTAGTTTCTATGAACTGTGGGTCCGTCCCGGCGGCGTCGGCCCGGACACGGACGTGTGAACGAGTTCATACAAAATACAATTCATTTTAGTATTTAGAGTTTGCAACAGCGGTATAATCGAAAACAAATACTTGATTGGATTATATTGAGTATTCATTATTGTTATATTGGGAAATAAAAGATGATTTTTAGTATAATGTACCAAAGATTAAAATGAAAATAAATTATTTAAGAATGTCAATTGGTACTTTTAGTTCTTGGACTCCGAATATGAATTGCATAATAAAGTATACGCGAGTCACGTGTCGACATCCGATAACTCCAGCTGACTGCTTCAGTTGAAGCCTGACTACGTACAGTTAAAATCTAGACTGTATGCAGTTGAAATTACGACTGCGAGCAGTTAATCATGACTGCAGGCTATTGGACGTGATAACTTCATACATGCATTCTAACAAATTTTTGTTGTTTTCTTATAATACAATACAATACAAATATTTTTTATTGCACACGGACAAATACATAATAACAATACAAAAAAGTAAAAAATTACATGTACAACAGGCGGCCTTATTTCTAAATAGCAATCTCTTCCAGGCAACCTTCGGGTTACAAGAAAAACCAAGCTTTGGGACGAACAAGTCGTGTGCCTGGCGGTAAGCGACATCCATGACAATTGCAATGCCACTCTGAGCTTTAAGTCGCAAAGGTCTTAGAAGCACTGCCAGTGAGCCCGTCACCTGAGATCATAGAAGATGGAAAAAAAGGAACCTGAGACATAAGTTGACAAGTTTTATATGCCTGCAATTTCATCAGCATTTAATTACTATTTTCTATTAATTACAGTAAATAATTACTATTACGTAGAAAATAATTGTATTGGCAACTTTAACGAAGAACGTGCCAAAATCCATAAACTAAAGAAATAGGTGCGTTAAATTTATGTATTCCTAATTTTTAATGTAGCAATTCTTCACTTGAAAAAGTCGCCATAAACTTTAATAATATAACATTTTGCCAATCTAACATGCTAAACAAACTACGAAACTCTTTAAATAATATGAAAACCTATCCCTTATGAATTATTTAAAATTTTACAACGTCACTACAACATACAACGTCAATTTTCGAATTTTGACAGTTTCAAAAATATTTTTTTTTATGGTAACATTGCGCAAGTATTCTTTCGTTGTGGTGAAACGTGCGTATGCCGGTTTCTTCAATTTTAAGGCAAATTTTAACTAATTCTGCTTGAGTACACGTTACAACAATAAAACAAAATGCACGGGGAAACGGCGATGACACTTATACAAATATTAGAAAAGACTATATCACCAGGTGAGCAACAATTTCTTTCTTTACGAGCATGGCGCTTTCTTCTGGACGTCAAACGACTGTTATCGCTAACCACGACTTGGACTACAAATTACAAGTGATGAAGGAAAGAGATTCTGCTAAATAATTTCACAGTAATGGCTATCTAGCAATGACATATCATCATGTGAGACTGTTTTGCTCAATAAAATATTGCAAACGTAATATTGTCGGTTTTCTCTTCTAGTTGTCAACAAATGTTTTTACTATCTTTTCTGTGTGGTATATATCTTATTGATGTAAAGTCCAGTATACATTATCTTAGATAACCATGTAGGTAATATAGTCTAATAGATTACTTCTTTGTGGAACCTGTTCATTTTAGTAATCTGTGAGGTAGTTGGTTTTGCATCCTTGTAATGATTGATCATCCCAATAATGAGCTTGATCAATAGTGTCGTCTTGCTGGTAACTCATTTTATACCCTATACTTAATCAAACATTGTAAATCCACAGAACATTATTCTTGAAATTTGTTATAAATGATAAAACAACTGTCATATAATATAAAGAAGGTTCTAGTTCAATTTGTTGTGTAAACTGAAATTTCCAGCATAACAAAGTCTGAAATACATTCACAGACAACTTATTCACCTGAAATACATTCACATAAAACTTATTCTTGTACAATCACAATCTTACCCACTTGTCTTTTGATTTCCTCTGTCTTCAGATTTGAAGGTTAACTGGGATTATTACATGTTAACTTGTTATTGACAAGTATTGTATTGTCCAGTTCATTGTGAATTTTGCTCCAATGCATCAAAATTGTTTAATCAAATATTTTTTAAATATAAACTTACTGCATGTTATTTTGTTTTAAAAAAAAAATAATTATACGGGGTGTTAAACTGATGGTCCCCAAAAGGGGGTGAACAAATAATTGGTCATTTGTCAAGACTACTATGCTAAGGTTGACAGTTTTTAGATTTTTGAAATGTGACCATTTTTTTAATTTCAAAAATGTATTTTTTTTTCCTACATTTTAGAAATTTTTTTTTTGCTAAATTTTAGCTTCCAATCCAATTGTTATGGTAGTGTAACAAATATACATTTATTTGCATGCAATAATTGAATAAAGAAAAACCAAGCTCATAAAGTTCTGAAAATAGTTTCAAAACCTCTAGAAGCTTCTCTTTCCATCTAGTGTTCAAATGTTATTAAAAACTTTTTTATCTAATTTCACAAGTTCAACATTTTTAACCAACTTCATAGTTGAAATGTGATAATATTAATTTAGTATAAGAGCAATATGTACTTGTAATTATGGTTACTGATTTTATAATTTAGAAATATCGAAACTTGTCGTAGTTATAGATCCTTTTGCACCTGTACTTATTCTGTATTATCTCTTTCTTCAACTATAATAGTTGTTAACATTTGGGGATAATTCAATAATGAAAAGATTTTTAATTCTGTAAATGTTGCTAAAAAAAAACAGATTGTACACCCACTTTTGTAGTGTAGGCGCGACATCACCACTGGTCTACTGAGACAAATTACTTTCAATTTTTTTCTTTAACACTTGCTTGAATTATAATTTGCATGCACTCTTCACTTATCTGTAGTAGTTAACACAAGCTTGTGTTATGAAAACTGTATTGTTATTTAATTCGAATGCTTAACTAAAATTTTCAATGTAAAATAAAGTCTGTGCAAGCATCATAAAAACCCCAAAAAAAAGTATAATAGAGATGCTTGGAATATATTTCTATTCAGTTATAAACCTATCTAATGCATTCTGTATGTTTTGATATTATTTTTGTACAAATAAAAAATATTATAATTATTTGATTATTCACATTTTATGCAATAAATATTTTTTTGCTTAGACCAAAATGAACTACAAGCAGCTGAGAAGTACTTGGACCATGCAGCAGCCACAGACTTCACGACATTCATCAAAATGCTATCAGACGTTCTGGTGGCTGGTGGCAACAGCCAGGTGGCACGAATGGCTGCAGGTTTGCAGCTTAAGAACCACCTGACTTCTAAGGATCAGACACTGAAACAGTCTTACCAACAACGGTGGCTTTCTTTACCTGAAGACGTTAGGCTTTACATTAAGAAAAATGTAAGTACTCTACTTTTTCGAGCATGTTAATTGGACTGCCATCACTCCAATTTCATGCTGCTCTGCCTCCTCTGGGCTTTTTGACTAGACATATAAATTTTATTCTATAGCCTCTGTATAGGCAGTGTCTGCGATTTTTAGTAGCAGTAGAGCTTGTGAGTGGGGTCGTCCAAGGAAGAACTGGCACCTTACTTATTTCTGCCGCCAAGCGCAAATGTGTGGGTGCGTTACTGCATTTCGGTTTTGAAGAGGAAAAGTTGCTATCTGGTGAATTACAGGCATATGGGACTTATCAACTTACGTGTCATGGTGACGGGCGCAGTGGCAGTGTCCGTTAGATCTTTCAAAGCTCTGAGTGGCACAGCTATGACTAAGCGTGTCGTTTACCACTAGTAGAGCTAGCTCGACAGGGCGCGACTTGCGCGAGAGCGACATACTGCTGTTCTCCCTTATAGATCTCGCGCTTCATGTCGCTCTCACGCAAATCGCGCCCTGTCGAGCTAGCCCTACAGGCGCACGACTTGTTCATCCCTTCACTTGTAGGACTAGTACGACAGGGCGCGACTTGCGCGAGAGCGACATAAAGCACAGGAATCTATGCAAGAACAGCATTATCTCGCGCCTCATGTCGCTCTCGCGCAGTCGCGCCCTGTCGTGCTAGCCCATCGGTATCATTAAAAAATAAAAAAGCTCATGTGTGTAAACATTTTTTTTTGTACATACAGCCCCTTTCAATTTTGAATTTGTTGTCGTTCGTAATAAGTTTAAGGATAATATCATTTTCAATTTATTTTTAGAATTAAAACTGTTACTGATGCTTACACATAAAAGCTTGGAATATTGTGTCACTGACTACTTTGTAGTTCTACTGAAGACTGAAGACTAATATTCTGCCCTCGTAACGAAAAAAGGCACAAATATGCAAACTTTATACAGTAGTTCTGCCTTTTTTTGTTCTGAGGGCAGTATTTTACCAGTGTATAACATTCATTTAGTCATAGCAAGCACTTCGTTCTGACGTGTGCGCTTTAAAATTGACTTGAAATCTTTTTATTTTGTCACCCAATTTAAATGAAACAAACACTAAATGTTAACCGAAGCTTATCTTAATAGAACATCGAGAATCACATCCAAATTGGTCCAGCCATTTAGGTTTAGTAATGTGTCTTCAGCTGCACACTTATACTTTAAAATATTAAAACTTTTACTATTTTATTATATGCATTAACACATTTGCTCTTTTGAGTAAAATAAAGTATATATGTTTAAAACAATTTTCTATGTCAACCCATATCTCTCTCAGTGAAAAACTTTTTCATGTAGGGTTAGGCCCTTGTTTCTTTGTTATTTCAAATCACATGTCCCACCATAAACTTATACTAATAAGTTGAACACCATCTTATATACAAAAAAAATTAAGTTTGCCTAATTAATACATTCAGGCGTTACTTTGCTAATAGAAATGGAAGTAAATTAATTTGCTATTCTGTGAACCCAGGCAAAATAGCTGTGCTTGTGTTGAGTATTTTATTAATATTATTATTTTTTAATTAACTTTATGAAAAAAATAGTCAACACAAACGCAGCTATTGCGAACAATTGAACCTTTTCTGGGTTCGCAATTTTTTTTAAATTTATCATCTAACAAGCAATTAGTCCCAAAGTTTTATAAATTACTGTGATATTTAACAACTTAGGTAGCCGACTGTGGGCGCTAGATGAGCATATCCATGGTTCGATTCCCAGTAGAACTAATTTGGGAAATAAATTTTTCTTAGTTCTCGTTTTTAATGTTCTGGGGTTCATTTTATTATGTATTTCCGAGATGGAGACCAGGTACTTGGCATGGTTACCTGGTACTACTGTTTACACACAAAATTTAAGTCGGACAACTCTCATCAATTATCAGATAACATCTAATTATTTTTATTTATCATGTATAAATGAAAGAGATAGGAAATAATACACATAAAGTTTTGTTGGTTGATAGAGATAAAACTCTGAAATAACAGTGCAATCACTGTTATTTTAGAGACACTTGTGTTATTTCTATGACAGGTCATGGCAGAATATCAGTGACGGCTATGTAATTAGCATAGTCCTCAAATGCCGTGTCATGACCATTCTGAGGACCTTTTTGGCATGCTTTTTTTTTGCTTGTTTGTTTTAATTTTTTTTGTATTATTGTTATTACGTTTTCCTATTATAATATAATAATATAAGTACGGACAACGGCACACCAGACCACACACACATTGTCGTTCGAAAATCGCCTCCAGTGCAACGGAACAAGATACGTCAATGTGTAGCTTGATGTGCTGGCGTGTGTACATTAAAAACTTCGCTGATTCAAAAATTTAAATGAAACATTTTAAAATGTCATTGAAAATATATCCCATCAATAATGGTTGGTATTGCCATTTACAGATCTTAGCAGCGATAGGCACAGAGACCACCCGGCCGAGCTCGGCGGCGCAGTGTGTTGCTTACGTTGCCGTAGCGGAATTACCAGTGGGCCAGTGGAACGACCTCATTCCCATCCTTGTAGAAAACGTGGTCAATGCTCAATCCACGGAACTGAAGAAAGAAGCTACCCTAGAAGCTATTGGTAAGCAACGAAATACTGTTTAGCCACAGACGAGGTACTGTCGTAACTTAAAATTGCACAATTGAGAAAACACGATTTGAAAGTTCAAAAAAATTACTGAATTAAACCTATAAATATATATACTCGTTAACAAATAGTTAACTAAATATTATAAGTAAATAAAAACATTCGCAATAAGGTCGGTTCAGTTTTTTTTTGTGTTCTGTGTTGTTCTAATCTAAACATTAAAATCACAGACATGTATCTAGATAGACACCGCAAGTGTACGTACTTCGCGTGCCCAAAGTAAGTGAAATTCACTTGCCGCTGCTACACTTCAGAACGCGCTCGACCGTTATCGTAGATAAACACCAGTCGAAAACACGAAAAATGCATAATTGTGCCATTATATGCTGCAAAAGCACCATAACGGTGGGTAAACGGGTAAACAGGGACGTTTCCTTCCACGGGCAAGTGATTTTGTAATCAGAAGATGCATAATTTATTTTAAAAACCATTATTTTGATTTGGTATCAATTTCGAGAAAACAAAGATGCCGAGTGTATGCCTCATATTAGTAATACATTGCGGCTTTTACTTGGTGCGATATATTTGTGATCCTTTGTTAATACGCCATGAATATCGAACGAACGCACTTTTGTATAATGCATTCAGTTTCGTGGTATTGCCACATGTACATTTCTTTGGCCAAATTTAACATTTAGTGATGTATAAGTTAGGCAACACTGTTCTCGATTCTGATTTGTTATAACTTTTGTTATAACATTTAGTAACGTTTCGTTTTTTTTTAGTTTTGTAGTATCTATTATCGGTAGTATCTGTAATTTCGATAATTTTTGCGGCACGTTGCCTCGAATGTCCGAATATAGTGAGCAAATAATTACATACATCGCCGGATATGTAGTACGAGTAATACAAAAAAATATAGATAGATAGACAGATAAACACTTTATTGCTCACACACAAGAACAAGATTAGTACATAAACAACTTAAAACTAATGTGGGCAAAGGCGGTCTTATCGCTAAGAGCGATCTCTTCCAGACAACCTTTAAGTTAGAGGAAAGCTAATCGGAGCGGGAGACGTAGTGTGCCAATTTTACAAATATAAAAATAAAAATAAATTATTTAAAAAAAAAATATAATACAAAGAATTAACAGTAACGCTGTCTTTACAAAAACCTGGAATTGGTCATATGTATGAGTTCGTTGCTTTCGAGGACGAAGGTGGTCAAGTTTATACCACCTGAGATGCTATCCAAATATGCAGAGTAGCAGAGTTAGAAATCCGGGATAAAATAAACAAATCACAAAAATTTCACATGAGGCCGTCATTAAGTAAACCTCTTCTGACTAATAAGATTTTACCTTATTTTGTCAGCAGTAACATTTTTATTTGTCTTGCCATTCATCAGTTTGACGAATTAACAACAGAAAACCATCTAGTAAAATTAATTAAGGCAGTCGCAAGTTCAAATATTGATGGGAGTTTTCATTATTTAAGTTAATCGATAAGATCTTCTATTACGAAAAGATGTTATGTATAATTACCTCATTTTATTGGAAGGACAATAATTTTAATATTTGAAGTCGATTAGAAATTTAAGTCTGTTATAATTAATGAACATTTCTTAAAAACAACTAAAATAAAGGACTTAACTATCTTGTTCTAGTATTTTTCTACTATATTAATATTACGACTACTTGTAATCAACAAATACTTGAACAAAAATTATTATATTTAGAATTAGAGCGAGTGGGAGGTTTCCATCACTAAATGGTTCTTGTGACGTCATAGTGGGTACAAATACTCAATATATTTATTGCATTGATATGGTACATACATGTCTTAAAATTACGATAATGCTACACATATGAGCCCTTTATTAGGGATAACAATAAGAGCAGAGGTAGGCCGAGGTTTCAATTATTAATTAGATTGTTATTTATCAAATAATAACATAAAGTAAACAAATATGTCATGTAATAAGAAACAAATACGTCATATTATAAGCAGAATTATGTCACATGAAAGTTTGAATTTAATTAGATTATATTATTATTTTTGCTTGTCATCAAAGTATTCATTTAAATTGTAATAGCATTTATTAATAAGATGTAATTTTAATTTATTTACAAACTGCTGTACTTGCGGCGTCTATCTAGATATATGTCTATGGTTCAAATCGTGTATTCTCAATTCCACAATTTTGAGTTACGACAGTATTTGTTTCATGTGTGACTTATTGACAGAGTTTTCGGTTGGTCATATAACACGATTCCCATCAGCTAAGCAGCTAAGCTTCCTAAGCAATTAGCTAATCTAGCCATAAAATAAGCTACTTAACAATAGCATTTACAAGTGCACACACAAAACAAAAAACGCGTAAAAGTTTCCACAAAAATGATAAATGTATTCAAATAATAATAATAATAATAATAATAATCTCATTTATTTGTCGGAATAGGTACATGGTACATTGATACATTTTATAAAGAATACAGTGGTACAAAATAATCCGACAAAACGGTCTATGACTCAGCGGTCGCGGGGGTCCCACGGCCTCTGTTATTCTGCCATAACCTTATTTAAATATTATAAACAGTTATTTCAGGACATCGAGACTTAAAATAAAAAAAAAAATAATGTATATTTACAAAGAGCAACCTCTAGAGTTTCTTGCTCATTCTTCTCAGAGGAATCTGCCATACCATTATAGCGTATAGTTTAATCAATATGACGATTTCAAATGTAATTTTCTCACCTATGAAATAAAGAACATTTGAGTTTTGAGTCTAAGTTATTCAACCCGAACTACAGTACTTTCATAATCTCATACAAAATACCACATACTGAATGCCTATCCTTTTCACTGCAATGAAAGCTTAGTTTTTAAGTTCCACTAAGTTTTAACGCGCCCGACACGAATGCGCTGCAGGCCGAAACATTTCAAGTTATGATACTGGTAGAAAAATTCATAGATGAAATTGTTGATCGTATTTCAGCCAGTATCAATTGAATCCAAATTAGAGGTTAATAAGTAGGTGACTGAAAATAACATTTTTAAATAGCAGCGTTGTAATGTCTGTTTATTTTAAAATTTGCTGTCTTGTTGCTGTTATTTTGTTTGCCATATGGTGGTGATTTGCAGGAGCATCTTAATTTTAAGTAATGGTGCAAATTTGTAATTATTCAAATAGTCATAAAATTGTATTGTCAGTCGTAATAGTACGTATACAACAGAGGTGGGGTGTGAAATGTGTCGTTAGCAAAGTCTGAAATCTATCTGGAAGCTATAGTCCTTTATATTATTAAACATAGATTTCTACGCGTTTATTATTGAATATTTTGAATTGAGTTTTTTAAGTGGTGGGGTATGCATACTGTCTAGTAAAGTGGTTTGATAATAGGTGACAAATTTTAGGCAAGCTATTTTTTTTATAACTTCAAGTGACGGGACGAACAAGTCGTACGCCTGATGGTAAGCTACACGCCTGTCCATAACAGCTACAGTGCCACTCAGAGCTTTAAATTGCAAAGATCTGAGGGGCACTACCACTGCGCCCGTCACCCTGAGACATAAATTGACAAGCCCCATGTGCCTCTAATTTCACCAGCACCCTTACCCTTGAAAACCTAGCAATACTACCCTGGACGAACTCTTTCACAAGGAGCTCTACTTCTACTGAAAGCTGATGGGAATAAAGTTATATGAACGATTCGTCTCTTGTACACAGCGCAAAATATCTTCCACTGCAGCATTTGCACAATATAAATAGTACTTTAGTTATAGCTAACGAATAATGCTTTAACAAGTAACCAACACTGTGACACTGTAAACAGTGTTGCCTAAGTGAGTCTTAGGGCAGTTTTCCAGGAGTCAGGACTTGAGTATGATTTCAAGCACTAGAAATCATACTCAAGTCCTTGCCATTAGGGTCGTATTTCCAGTGCTTGAAATCATACTCAAGTCCTGACTTGAGCATTGAGTAGAGTTCTGGAATACGATCCTTGGAAAGCTTGGTTGCAATCGGCACGACTACGCTTTAAATTAAATTTTTGTTTATTGTCAACATAACAGAAATGTCTTGACAACAATATAATTTGTCCATTCCAGGTTACATTTGCCAGGACATAGATGCAGAAGTACTAACAGAACAAAGTAACCCGATTCTTACGGCTATCATTCATGGCATGAGGTCTACTGAGACGAGCAATCACGTTCGACTCGCGGCCACACAGGCTCTGCTCAACTCCTTAGAATTCACTAAAGCTAACTTTGACAAAGAGAATGAAAGGAATTTCATAATGGAGGTTGTTTGCGAAGCTACACAGTCTAATGATATGAGAATTAGTGTTGCTGCTCTACAGTGCTTAGTGAGTATCCATACTTTTAAATATAGAAGATGTATTAAAGATTAAATGTAATAAATAAACCTTTTATTTACAGGTAAAAATTCTGTCTCTTTACTATCAATATATGGAACCTTACATGGGTCAAGCTTTGTTCCCTATCACTTTAGAAGCAATGAAATCTGACATAGATGAAATCTCCCTACAAGGCATTGAATTTTGGTCCAATGTCAGTGATGAAGAAATAGATCTTGCTATCGAAGAAGCCGAGGCAGCTGAAGCAGGTATGAGCCAACTCATTTGGGAATTGGAATTAATTTGTATTGATGTCATATTTCCTTCTGCATATTTATTGTTATGTTTCTGTCTCTGGTAGGTCGTCCTCCCGCCAGAACATCAAAATTCTACGCCAGGGGCGCATTACAATACTTAGCGCCTGTCCTAATGCAGAAATTAACAAAACAAGATGACGGCGACGACGAATTGGAATGGAATCCATCGAAAGCGGCGTCTGTGTGTCTGATGCTCCTGTCTAACTGCTGTGAAGACGATATAGTGCCTCACGTCTTGCCCTTCATCAACTCGAACATCAAAAATGACAACTGGCGGTATCGAGAAGCTGCTCTAATGGCATTCGGTTCGATTCTTGGAGGTCTTGAGGCCAACACTCTGAAACCACTGGTAGAAAAGGCTATGCCCACATTGATTGAGGCCATGTATGACTCCAGTGTTGCTGTACGGGACACTGCCGCTTGGACTTTCGGCAGAATTTGTGAAATTGTCCCCGAAGCCGCCATTAATGAGATGTACCTGAAACCACTGCTGGAGAGTCTTGTTAGTGGTTTGGGAGCCGAGCCCCGCGTCGCCGCTAATGTATGCTGGGCATTCACTGGACTAGCGGAAGCCGCATATGACGCTGCTGATTGTGGAGATTCCAGTCAACCAAAAACATATTGTATGTCCAATTACTTCGATTTCATCATTCAGAGGCTTCTCGAAACCACTGACCGTCAAGATGCCGCACAGCACAATTTGAGATCGGCTGCATACGAAGCTCTTATGGAAATGGTTAAAAACTCTCCTACTGATTGCTACGTAACTGTTCAGAAGACCACAGTGGTAATTTTGGAGCGACTGCAGCAGGTTCTGCAGATGGAGAATCACATTTCGAGTCAGTCTGATCGTTCGCAGTTCAATGATCTGCAGAGTTTGCTGTGCGCTACTTTACAATCGGTTCTTCGTAAAGTGACGCCCGAAGATGCACCTCGGATATCGGACGCCATCATGACGGCGCTGCTCACCATGTTCGCGGGCAACGCCGGTAAAGCTGGTGGGGTACAGGAGGACGCCCTCATGGCAGTTTCCACTCTGGTCGAAGTGTTAGGCGAGGGTTTCCTCAAGTACATGGATGCTTTTAAAAGATACTTGTATGTTGGTCTAAAGAACCATCAAGAATACCAAGTATGCATAGCAGCAGTTGGTCTTACTGGTGACATTTGCCGCGCTTTGAAGAGTAAGGTAAGAGGAACTAGCCTTCTATTTGAACTCTGAGCTGTAATATGAATATCTACAGTATTTTAAATTTTTATTGAATTGATATTCAATTATTTTTTTGTGAAATTACTCCACTAGATTGTTATAATTATTAATAGAAAGATCGAACACTCACACCAACGTCTTCTAGCATTCCGTGCGAGACTCTGGCACGATATGCTAGAAGACGTCGGTTCGAATCCGGCCGGATCGAAGGAATTTTTTATGAGTGTTCGATCTTTGTATTAATAATTATAATCTACAGTATTTTTATTTAAACAAATTTCAATTTCAGGTGCTGCCTTATTGTGATGAGATTATTGTACTGTTATTGGAAAACCTTGGCGATCCATCCATTCATCGTTCTGTGAAGCCACAGATATTGTCCGTCTTTGGAGATATTGCTCTCAGCATTGGTCCAGATTTTGCCAAATACTTTGATGTCGTTATGCAAATGTTGCTGCAGGTAAATACTAACAATTTCTTTTTTCGTATTCCCGTTAAAGTCTGAGTATATTTTAAAAATTAACACAATTCTGTAACATGTAAAACTTCTAGGCCAGCAATGCGCAAGTGGACCGCAATGATTACGACATGGTGGAATATCTTGGCGAACTCCGCGAGAGTGTGCTCGAGGCCTATACCGGAATTATTCAAGGACTGAAGGGAGCTAGTGGAGAGGTATGAGTAAAATAACAATATGTTTATGGTTACTTCTAATGTCCCAAATAAATAACATAAAATTTTGAAATGTGACTCGTAACAGCGAGTTAATAATGATAATAACCAGTTGGCCTTTGTTTTTTAATAATAATAATCTTTACTTATCTTCAGAAATGGTTTTGTCAAATAATAGTGGCCAGAGCATCCTTTTAAGCGTAGCCAGTGGTCATGCCGCACAATAATGCAGCTTTCTGGCACTTGTACAAAATGTACGCCCATAATTCAGAAAATGATGTAATACATATGTGGTTCATTTGATGTAACATATTTTTGGTCGAAATTACATTCAATAGATATAATTAATTTATGGTATAAAGACATTTAACATATTCTTACATGATGTAAGGTATCATGGGATGTAATCATCGAGTATATAACCAGAAATAGAGACGAAATAAGGTCCATATATTCCTGGTAACACATTAGCGATATAGCTCTTATAAATATCAACTCTCGTTTGCACCGAAATACAGACAGGCCAACTACTGACCTGTGTGTACGTCTCAGCATATTCCAAAAAATATTCTGTATTTATTGTAATAAAGATAACATCTATAATAATGCTGTTCTATTTGGTGGTGTAGGAAAAACAGCAAAACATCTAATTACAAAACAAACGGAATCACATTTCATCGGTAATTAAATATTAAATATGTAATTTTGCAATTTTCGTCCATTATAGCAATGCTCAAGTTAACTGGTCGATTTGAAGCGAAACAGTTGACGACACCCGTCAATTATTTCGAACTAGCCAATCGGAGCGCAGTTGTCACAGTAATGATATGGCAGAATAATTTTCAAACAAATTAAATGACATTTCGTCTCTATTTCTGGTTATAAACTCGATGGATGTAATAAATGTTTGACATAACACAGATGGTATAATATGTAAGTTATGTACACATTTTAGACATAATATTAACTCAGTACAGTGTAATATAAAATATAATCCCAGTGCCAAAGAAGGGTGGCGACATCCCGTGTATTTCATGACCCAATGTGTTTCACGACGTGCATTAAAGAAACCTATCAATACTTGTAATTCGTTAACATAGCATCGAAAAAGCTAATTGAGTACAGCCTGTAGAAGCTGGGGCTATAAAGTTGATATAAGTTATGTTTGTAGCATTGTCCTGTATTTTGCTTATTTGTTCGCAGTGGCAGAAACAACAAGTTTGCATTTTGTTCCCAAAAATAAATAAGAACTTTCTGAATATTTCCAAATCTCCCAAACTCTGCCACTAATTAATATTTACAACGTTAACATGTTCAGCCGCAATGAAAACGAATAAGAATTAAATCTGCCGAAATGGCAGCAATCTGCGACAATTGGTCACACTCTCATTGTGATTGTTCTGTCTCAATGTGACATTGACATTGGCAAGAGGTCTCTTGTCAAAACGTTCCTGTGCTAACTTTTTATCTCTCATACAATGTTTCTAAAAGAGAGAAAATAACATGAGCTCTCAAATTATATTTTTGTAATGTCATTAAAATATATACATAACCGTCTTTGTGAATAAAAACCGCCGAAGTATTTTAATAACCGGCAAACTATCTCACCACCGCTACACATGTCTTTCAACCCTGACATTGGCAAAATCGTCGCGCAAAACGACGGAGCCATAGACACAAAAGTTGAAGTTGAAGTTGAATGAGAGATAAAAAGTTAGTCTCATTTAATTGTCTAAGCATTTTTGTCACATTGTTTTTTGTTTTTTATTTTATGTCTTTACTATTCAATTGATTATTTGGTTAGGTATTTCATAGCTTTATTGTTTTATGAGTGTACTATAAAACAACCAATACTTTAGGCAGGTAAACATTATCATGTTCAAAATGAAACATCATACAAGAACGTTACCTAATCTATGGTCAAACTGAATCAATTGGGTTGTGTTGTTGCATTTAGTCTAATATACATTGTTTTACATTTTTTTCAACTTCAAAAAATATACAAAAGTATATTGACAACTAGGGAACTAGAATGTAAAATCATACTAGCAAAGTCCATGAACGGCTCTTCGTTGATTTAATAACTATTGGGTCAGCTTTCGCCATCTCTCTTTAAGTGCGACGACGACGAACGCAACCAGGAGTAACGAGGCTTTCGATTAAAACTAATCTTATAACTTTTACTTCCCCAAGTTAACCTACTTGGTATTATTTATAATTACTAATTCATATTATACCTACCGATAATACTTATACCATTTATTCATTATGTTAATTAATCATTATATCAAATTTAGTTATACCAATTGAAAATTTATCATTTGTTGTCATATCGATCATTACACACGCGGTTGCATACAGATCCGGTCGGACGTGGCGCTGGTGGAGCCACACGTGCCGGCCATCGTGAGCTTCATGGTGACGGTGGCGTGCGAGCCCGAGCGCACGGACGGCCACATGTCGGTGGTGGCGGGACTGACGGGCGACCTGTGCACTGTGTTCGGCCAACGCGTGCTGCCGCTGCTGGAGACGCGCCCGCTGTTGGACCTGCTGCAGGCCGCGCGCCGCTCGCGCACTCCACGCACCAAGACCCTCGCCAACTGGGCCACCAAGGAGATCCGCAAGCTCAAGCAGCAGCCGTCGCTCACCAGCTGGTACGCTTTTTACTTATCAAGGACATCCAATACCATTTTCAGCTGGATCAAACTTTACAAAGCCCCAGTACCTGATACCTAACTAAAGAGTGCAGTTGAAAAAAATCTCCTAATAATAATAAATTTCTTTATTTCCACAAAATTTTACAGAAATTACAATTACAAATTATGCAGCGATTTCAGAAATACAATTACTTACAGAAAGTGGAACAGGAAGTAGCAAATGACGACACTGACTCTTGAACTAGGCAAAACCTGTATCTCAATTGGATGGCTTCCTAATATATATAATATAGCAAAACATTTGAAGGGAGCAAAACAAAAATCAGCTGAGGGGAAAGCGATAATATGCTAATATTTAACTTAAGTCATGAGAATGTGTGTGTATAAGAGAGTATGTGAACTAATGAAATATTCTTTATGACGTTTGGTTGAATACTGGACCTATGGTAATAGGCAGAACATTTGAACCATGTTGTAATTTAGTCTTACAGTTACGAATACTGATAATTATGTTTAACTTACATTTTAAATTGGAACTGTTCCATAAACATTTAAAGAATAATATTTTATAATCTGTCCTTTTTGAAGACAAGAGTGAAATGAAATGACATTTGCGGGGTTGCCAGTTAAATTCATAGAATTTTAAATAGTCATGTAGCTCTTATCGACATTTTTATCGACAGATTGTGATAGAAGGTATGCCAAAAATGTTTGAAATGTGAATTATATGACGTTTCAATGATTACTAATTGCGTTATTGACTTCTTCATTCCTATTTTAACAGCTGGTCTACCAGTATCGAAATCAATTTGTATTCATATACGTTTTAATAAGGACAGGCGAATTTAATTATCTATATTTTATTTTTAATAGATATATTCTAAATTATGTACTTTTTGTATGAGTTTACAAAAATTGACAATTCAAATGAACCTGTGCCCAGCAGTTGGAGGAATAACGGGCCGATGATGATTCAAATGATAAAAGTTCGGCGATTTATTGCATGAGCGTAACCAACATTCAGTCGATAGAATATTTATCGACCGCGTGGAACACTTTCATGCAATGAGCTGTCATTTTACACCATCTTTAAAAAAGACAGACTGTAATTCATTTGTTCAGTACATGAAACTAAACAACTGTGTTTATGGAATAGTGATGCAACAGACCTCTGCTTCGGCAATTGCTGAAGTTCCGTACGCTTTTAATCGGAAGTCTATAACGTTTGCGAAGGATGTGGTGATGAGACGCGTGTGTTTTAGCATTGTTGTATTGTACAATGTGCAATTACGAAAACAAAAACAAGTCCTGTTTTTAATATAACTATTTATTCAGTCAACTACTTTTTTTAAGGTCCAATGGTGTTAGTAAACTTAGAAAAATTACTTAAAGACTAGGTTAGTGGTAATAATAATAAATAGTACAAAACAGATGATTTTATTATTTTTCGCAATTTCAGAGGCCATCCTATAGTAAACAGTGATTGGTTTCATATATTATTGTGTAATAAAATTAGGGCTTTAGCATTACGTATAGCAATGAATGTTTGGAGTAAATCTGTTTATGAATTTTTTCAGATTCAAATCGCCACGTTGCAGCAGTGAAGTAACGCAGCTCCACTCGACTTACTGCTGGTAATCTCGTTGTATTGGCAGGTCATATCACGTCATTATTCATAAGTCGTTAGGTGCATTTTCAAGGGCCTTGCCGGATTAGCTTTTTTTTCATAATTTATTTGATATTGTTAAGTTTCAAATAAACTGGTTTCTTATTTAGAATATTGTGCTCTCTTTGTTGTTATTTATATTTCATTTTTAAAAGGTATAGTTCTATGTATGTATATATTACATTGGGAGTTTATTTTTAATTCTTAGCACATTATGTACTGAATGTATTATGTACCATTTAAAAATGTAGTGATCGAAGTAACTGTAGCAATAATTAGTGTACCACAGTGCATATTGTTCTTTAATTTATAATGCACTTCACGAGGAGCTGATCACCAAGTGATTTCTGCATTGCCGGCACCATCCAATGCACCTAACGCAGCATTCTTAAAATAGTTAAGTATGCCTGACCATTATAATCTTTCCATAACGATCTTGAAAACAGCATATTTCCTATTTGGTATTATAAATACAGACAGTGGCTGTGGTATATTAAGGAGGGACTTAGGCTCAGGCTAACAATGTGCGGGAGTGATAATGTTGTTCCACCCTAATATCTGAAATCAATAATACGCGTTAAGAATCAGTCGGTACTGACAATCTTGAGATTACAAAGAGTGCTCTTAAGCTAGATGCAACTCCCCATGTTGCCAGCTTGTGCTGATATATGCCCTTAACTATATGAGGTAAGTGATAGTTTGAAAGACGATGCGTGCAAGTTGACGTATGTTACATTAGGCATGCACATATGCAAGGGATTATGAATTCTATAAATTATTGTTATGTTTTGTATGACGCATGAAAGGGAGCGCGAATGAGATGTATGTGAATCGGCGTGCTAGATAATCACAGATATTTAGTAAGTGTGAGGTGATTTTAATGAAAAGGTGGTGTAATGTATAAAATTCCGTCAACATCATAGAGACAGAAGGACACCATATTGGTGAAAATTACCTTTTCTTTACCATAATGCTGTTGTCTTGTTTTATCGAGCAACCAGCTAGCTATATGTTTTATATTTGTGATTATTCATTGTATGGGAATAATATGGCCTATTTTTTATCTAGGAATGCTTTCTGTTGAAATCAGGTACTTATTAAATGCTTTCACATGAAGGTAGAAACAAAAATTGCAAATAATATTACAACAACTGTTAAAACATGCGAGACTATAAAACGAAGAGTGCAGCTATTGTGGTGAATGTAAAGTACTAATGCCTTCCGATCTCAAGCTTCCATTATTTGTACATATGTAATTTAAAGCTCTTCGTGTACAATTTTCTAAAGTGGGGCTTTAGTATCAGCCACACAAATAGGAGAATGTGAGATATTCGACTGAATGAACAAATTTTCTTCACGGAGCGAAACACTGCCTTTGGAGTAACAAATTGCTTCGAAACCGTCATAAAAGGCGAATCTCATTAGTTTCGACGATATTAATTTTCAATTTAGTTATAAACTTGCATTTTTTTAAACATTTTCTCATTAACTTAAGGTTAATTCCATTTTTTTAGAAATATATGAAAGTTCATATTATTGCCTGTTATTACCGCTAAAAAATATAAAGCATTAAACTCTTCACGTATTTAATGCGCATTGAGCGTTGATTATTCATATTTTACTGTGTGGTTTATACGTCTTTTTTATTTATTGTCCTTATTGCTGTCGTAAAAGAGCCCGGTTAATTCCATTGCCAATTTAAAGCCCTGTAATAAATAATACGTATTACATTTTGGTTGAGTGTTTGCTAGTCTGTGAGCATCACTGATAGGGATGATGTTTGCGCGATTTATGCAAGAATTTTTATAAAGACCTTTACACATCTATCATTTTATATTCAATTAGTTGTAATGGGGAGTCCGCTGGAAAATATTTTATAAGTATTAGTGAACCTACGTATGTAAACAAATACCATATCATTAGGCGAAACAGAAATACGTACGTACATGTTGTATACTATCACGGCTTGTAACAAGACTAACGGACCTTACTTAATTGATCTTTGTTACAGACAAGCATAGAAATCGAAGCCAACAGCACACATAACACAATGAACTAATATTTTCCTTATCGGCTTATTAGATAGTTTCCCGCGACTCAGTACTACCTACAAGTAAAGTCGATCAAGATGGATGTTTAACATGAGTACCCCAGTGGTCTATAGGTGTTATGTACTTATATTAATTAAGTATGATAGGAGAATGTATGAGGACCAGTGCCATGCCATGAAAGAGGTTCTGAATTAGAATCGTAGGCATCGTGTCGACGAATACCACCCACTTTTCCTGCGCTAATCAAAAATCAATTGAAATTATTTTGTTTAAAAATTATTTTTCTCTTGTTTTGACTCGCCTACTACTCTGTAAACTGTTCTATTCTATGATAATAAAACATTTAGAAGATACAATGTGGTTATTATTTTCCTCAGACACGCCTTACTTTAGTTCAGGTTTTTGTATAACATAAGATAGTCACGGTGACTGCGGTAATAACAAGATTAGGCACAGCACTAGCGACTCCGACTAAACATATAATATCCTGTAATAATAGTATAGGAACAATTGATTAATAACATTATCTTATGAGCAGCGTGCGTTACTTTGAATCCGGGGATTATTTTCAACACAAAACCATGATAATATTTGGTCATTTATATGTCACTTATCTAAAATAAAATCGGAATTTGCCGTGTTATTATACCTTTTATTGTTCTGTAAATGTTAATTTTGTGTAAAAAGATAACCTACGTCGAAACGACGTATTCGATTTTGAAAAATCGGTATAATTCCTTCGTATTAAGCACCTGTGCACCCGCCGTTCCTTCCAACTCAGTCGACCCACAGAGCTTGCAGAAGACACTGGTGTCGCTGTGTGTGACTCTACTCATCTAAATAATATACCTGCCATACGTCGAAGTGACGTATGGTTATCTTTTGCGTTAGTTTTTGACTTTGGTGATGTCGTGTAGTTAATAGGTTTTCGTGATTTATGTGCGAATCATAGATTTAGTATATAGGTGCGAATAAATACTATAGTTTTTGAGGTCCCTCGCAGCAACACATCTCCCGCGCATCTAGTAAGGCAAAAAAACTGCTTTAAAACCTACCAAGTTTCAAATACTTACTATGGTTGAATTGGTCGGTTGAACTTACTGGATTTTTGACTGGTCACGAAGCGAACTAGTTTCTAAGCCCCGCGCGCCCGCCTCCGGGTGCCCCGGACTGTGCCGTACCTCCAGGTCGGGACAAGTAATATCGGACCAGCGCGACCTACTTTTTAGTTGATCAATATGCCTAGTTAGGAACTGACCGTTACATAACATCATCCACTACATAACGCCTTGAGTTAAATAACTTCTTTTTTTTTGTCTTTAATCCATTTTTCCTGTCGTCCGTAACTTCTAGCCCAAACCGTATCGTTTTCCTCAAAATCGCGTTCTACTCCACCAGCATTCTCAGTTTGAGTACGCTGTGCCTCATGCACCTTTTCTAGTACCTACTGCATAGTCATTACGTAATAAGTCGAGGCGTTTGCGCAAGTCAAACCTCACTTTTTAGAGTGTTCACAGAGCTGTATTCCAATACTGGTAATTTAATATTCATCTCTGCCAGCCACTGTCTCCCCAGTAGCACTGTCTAACCATTTCTAATAACATAAAGATCTAGTGCCCTTTCTTCGTTTTGATAAAATACTTTAGGCTTAATTACTCCAACGGGCCGCGCTGCCTCCCCTGTGTAGTAGTGCAAAACTAATTTACAGTCACAATTTTTTTAATTATTAAACATTTTGAAATAAGTATCGTAACGTGTGCACGACACAGCGCTGCATGTATCGCATTCCATAACGAGCTTCTTACCCTGAACATTTAGCGGCATAAGCAACGGTTTACATTGATTTATTGCTAACTGGTTACAATCAATAAACATTGCCTCCTCACTGTCGACGCTGTCCGTATCCGTAGCTTCACCAATGTTCGATACCCCGTGCTACATGGTTCGTATTGTTTGGACACATACGACGCAAGTGCCCTATTTGATTACATACCCGGCACATATATCGCGTGAGCTTGCGAGTTGCCGATTCATGTGCGCCCCGCATGCACGGCACGATTGGTGTCGACGAGACTATAGCGGAATATACGACCATTTTAAAACGTATGTCGAAAACGTGCAACTTTGGCAGCTGGCTAGAGGAAAGCCTCCGTGACCAGTTAGTGTGTGGCATTACTTGTAATACGATACGGCAGCGGCTTTTTGCGGACAGTAAACTGGATTTTAAGCGGGCATACAATTTAACAGTGAGTATGGAGACGGCCGAGAGAGATGCGGCTATTGTATAAGGACACGGAAGGTTACCAGGCGACCTGACGACGACGGTCCCATTTTTTTTAAGGCTCGTAACCCGTAAAATAAAGCTAAGTACCGGGCCTGAGGGCGCCCAAGTGGGCACGGACCTCGGCTCAGGGCGCTACTGAAGACTTCCGCCAGAGGGTCGTGCTATAGGAGAGAATCTACCAAGTTACAGTCATATACACAAGATACCTGACCCCCCCAAGCCGACTTTGTCGACCTTTTGGTTCTGAGCACAAAAATGTGGGGAAGATTTTTAAACAAACTTAATCTTTAACCTGTGAGCCGTAAAATTTATTTTGGTATGACTACCTGGTCGTCTCATTAGCGAATAACATTGTAGACAGTTTTTAAGCCAATTTCATCTTTAACGTAAAGTTCTTACTTAAATACAGACCACAACTTTCGAGCAGCTACAGTAACGACGCGTCGCACAGTATTTCGTCTAGTACAAGCTAGCGGGACAAAATTCATGACGTAATTTCCAGAAATTAATGATAACGACTTGTAAACAACCCTTCACAGGTACCGAATTCCAAGAACTAATTAGGTCATACCTCATTACGCTACTTTATCGGGTGTGAAAGGTAAGTGATTTGAGAGTTCGACTTGCATTTATAAATCAGTTGCATTTTTAGCACACTTGTGACAACATCTCTTAAAATTGGTAGCAAAGTGAAACGTGTTTTTTGTGATGGAATATTCTGTTGGAGGTATGCACACTATTATCACGATAGTGTATTTTTTTCAAAAAAATCATGTTTATTTTTGGTGCAATATGAGTTTCAATGTCTTTAAAAAAATCTTGTTAACCTTAATTGTTAACTTTAAAGTACTGCAACTTTTTTATTTAAATATATAACTCTAGATACGTCTGTATATTATATTTACAACTTTCAGGCATAGATTCATATATATTTCAGAGCCCGAAAAGTCCCGCAAGTAAAGTATTGTAATTTTTTCAGAACTTGTCATTACTGTGACGAAATTGGAATTTTTCGAAGAATGGCTGAGACATGAGAAAAATGCAAGAAACAGTCGCATTTTTCATTATATATGTGAAAAACATAATATCACTAATGCTTCTGATGAATCACTGAAAAACCTGAAGAAGAAAATCTCAAGTCTTTCCGCGATACCACATGAAAAGTGGACTTCATCTAAATCTAATAAAGAAGTGTTTATAACCAAACATAAAAATTGGTTCGAGGCTTCGGGAATAGTAATTAATGTATGTACACCAGCCGCAGCCTTCAACATCATCAAGACTTGGGTCTGTAGGCAGACCCAAAAAATCCTTTAACGACTCATCGCTGAAAACGAAGAGACGTCGAGTAGAAGATCTTTTACAAATTCGGAGTGCAAGTGAGCTAACTATAGCCGCGGAATTAGCTACTAGGAAGGCAGGGCACCGAAGTGTTGCTAAACAAAATAAAGAAGTCGGTGAAAGTCCAAAAAAGAATAAGTGTTCTGAACAAAGTAGGCAGTTAACTCCGGACGAAGCGTTAGCTTATTACGTAGACTTCAAATCTACTTGTCACTTATATAAGCAAACTAGGGAGTGGTCAATGAAGGCGGGACATAAAGTGTATCCATCATTCTACATCATTTCAGTTTAGGTAAATCCAAAGCTTCTTGTAGTCCTTCTGACGAAAACATTACTGTCACTGAATCTCGAGCTTAAAATAAAACTTCAGGCGATTTTGAATAAAACGGCTGAACGATTAGTTGAAGCTCAATGTGAAATTATTAGAAGTGTTACCTCGTTCATCGTATACGTTGGTAAGCAAATGGGGTTGTGATGGGAGTTCGGGGCATAGTACTTATAAGCAGAGGTTTAAGAACACCAGCGCTACAGACGAATTCCTGTTTGTATACTCATTTTGTCCCCTTGAGACTTCATGACGGAGAAACTGTGATCTGGAAAAATCCACGACCTTCTTCAACCTTATATTGCCGTCCTACTTGGTACTTAGTACTTGGTGCAACGGGCTGGTATCCGCAACTCGACGACAAAACGCCTATTTTGCGTGTGGTATTGCCGTCCTATCAGGTTTATATTTTTCAAGGAGACAAATGAGTTTACGAAAGAAGAAACTACTAAAAATTTTACATGAAATAAGTCAACTTCTTCCAACATTATGTAACGTTGATGGATCTCAAATCTTTGTTACACACGACTTATTGTTGACGATGACTGATGGTAAAGTGTGTAACGCTTTAACGGACACACGTTCAACACAAAAGTGTTATATTTGCGGTGCTACTCTGTCTACTATGAACGAGGAGTCGAGGAACTCTCCCAGCAACAAAGTGCGCTATGAATTTGGTTTATCTATTTTACATGCATGGATCCGCACTTTTGAATATATGCTTCACATTAGCTATCGTTTAGAAATAAAAAAGTGGCAAGTCAGAGGAGACAACGATAAAGCTGTAATAAAGCACCGCTCACAAGAGATCCAAATAATGCTTAAAGATCGTATGGGTCTTATAGTGAATAAACCAAAACCTGGGTATGGCAACTAGAATGATGGAAACACAACACGTAGATTTTTTTCTAATGCTGAATTGAGTAGCGAAATCACAGGATTGGACGTAAGTCTTATTAAAAGACTTCATGTAATTTTAAGAACTTTGTCATCGGGATACGACAAATTGTTTAGAATTCAAAGTTTTGCGTTGAAACAAGAAAATTATACCTTGATCTGTATTCGTGGTACTCCATGCCCGTTACTGTGCATAAGATTCTTGTACACAGTACGGAAGTAATTAAATCTTGCTTCCTTCCTATTGGTCAGCTTTCCGAAGAAGCCCAGGAGGCAAGAAATAAAGATTGCCGTAGATTCCGTGAGCGACACACTAGGAAGCGGTCACGTATTGCCACGAATACAGATCTTTTGAGAATGCTCCTAATTACGTCCGATCCTGTAATCAACACTTAGAGAGTTACAGAGAAAGAAGATTACTGCTTTGCCAACGGAGGTTCTGCAGTTGATTATCCCACCTTCCTTACCATCCCAGTTATCATCAGTTCGCGAAATTGATGAGGAGGATTAGTGTTGTCAGACTCTACCGGATTGGAGAGTAATGATGAGGAATCATCTGAAGATGAGCATTAGATATTTTTGTAATGTCTTTACATTTAGACTAGATAAATTAGGTCTTGTTTATTATTGTAATTAATTATTATATCTAGTTTTAATATGTAGTTGTAGAGTATTTTACTATAGGTGTTTTAGTTATATAACGCACATTTATTATTATACGTGTCAATTTAGTTACTTACTACTGAAATATAATTTTTGTTGTTATTGTATTGTTCGTTGATTTAATTTAATTGTATAAATATAAAAATTGTAAATTAATACCTACAGAACACGTCATAAATGTAATAAACTATAATAATATAATAATATTTTAATTAATATTTAATATTTTAAAATATAATAATATTTTATAAACTTATTTTTTATTTTTCTATGTCCTAATACTTTTATATAATAAAAAAATAATGCACTCGTACCTTACAGGCATGTGAAGAAGGCAGAGGCACCTAATTACAGAGCTATCACCCAACTTTCACCGCGTAATTGGTGACCTTACGTGTCAGGTGGTGAGGCCATCACGGTTGTAGGGTCTACACACATTACAGTACACAGGTTTCCACTTTTTTTTAGCTAAAAATGGCATAATATACCTGGAATATGCAAAAACAATTAAAATAACTCAAAAAATAATTTTGTCCCGCTAGCTTGTACTCGACGAGACACTTTGCGTTGTTACTGTAGCTGCTTGAAATTTGTCGCGACGTCGCGGCCTAGCGGCATAAGGATTGCTTTGCAGAGGCAAACATGGTTCGAGTCACATTGAAAATATAATATTTTAAAAACTATATATTATTGTATTTTTTTTGTTTTTAACCTCTAGATAGGTGTAAGGAATATCTAAGAATGTTAGATTCTCAAAGTGATTCATCTCCCACAAACATTAGGTGACTGAAATAAAAGTAACCTTCTTGAGTAATTCAACAAATATTTAATTCTTCTAAATTACAATTAGTAATCATATAATTGTAAAAATTTTAAATACTTGCAGCCTGTATCAGTAACTACTGTATTTTTTTAAATTCACAATTATATCGATATTGACGAAACGTAAGAAAACTAATTTTATTACTTAAAGTAGATATAGCTAGTGTCAATACATTTTTCATGAAAAGGAAACAAACCGGTTTGGTTAAAATTCTTAAACAATCATTCAATTAATGGAATACCTTACGCATTAATATTTGAAGATTTCAGCTTGATATCTCACCACTTTTTCCAATAATATTCATTTGAATAACATGTTAAAATCTTATTTCAAAGAAATTGCAAGGCGACTTCATATAGCGGTAAGTAGACTCATTATATTTTTCACAGTGCTGCAGGTGCATCCTTCATTATTCCATGGGTGTTATAAAACATGTTTAACGTGTCATTAAAATCTAACTTTAGGTGAAATTCGAAACTACAAATTATGAGGGCCAATTATAAAGTACATAAATTGCTTGTTCACAGAGAAACACTGTCAAGTTATGGATCAATCGCCGCAGAGCGACTGGAAATGTGCAACATAATCCGGGGCCAGCACCGGTAATGTGTACTTACCACTATAAAATCAACTGCTCAAATTCATGAAATAAGGACCAGGAAGAAGGACCTTGTGGTGTCCATGTGGGATTTATGCTGGTCACAGGCATGAAATACCGTTTACAACAAGTGATCGATTTTGAAGGTTTTCCTTTGCGATATTGAGGTGGTAATTGTGTAGTTTTTAATAATAGATGTTATAGTTATGAGTCGTCGCTAGGCAAAAATAATGTAAAGTGTGAGTGATGTTATTGTTATTTTTGTAACCTGTCTATTCACTGCACTGCATAAGGTTATAATTTTGTAAAAATGCAGCTGTAAAACTATACTTCGTTTCAATTCATTTTGCATAAAAGATTACCTATATAACATGTTTCAAATAAGATTTTAACATGTTATTCAAATCAATATTATTGGAAAAAGTGGTGAGATATCAAGCTAAAATCTTCAAATATTAATGCGTAAGGTATTCCATTAATTGAATGATTGTTTAAGAATTTTAACCAAACCGGTTTGTTTCCTTTTCATGAAAAATGTATTGACACTAGCCCTATCTACTTTAAGTAATAAAATTAGTTTTCTTACGTTTCGTCAATATCGATATAATTGTGAATTAAAAAAAATACAGTAGTTACTGATACAGGCTGCAAGTATTTAAAATTTTTACAATTATATGATTACTAATTGTAATTTAGAAGAATAAAATATTTGTTGAATTACTCAAGAAGGTTACTTTTATTTCAGTCACCTAATGTTTGTGGGAGATGAATCACTTTGAGAATCTAACATTCTTAGATATTCCTTACACCTATCCAGAGGTTAAAAACAAAGAAAATACAATATTATATAATTTTTAAAATATTATATTTTTAATGTGACTCGAACCATGCTTGCCTCTGCAATGCAATCCTTATGCCGCTAGGCCGCAGTCGTCGTTACTGTAGCTGCTTGAAATTTGTATTACGTGCCCACTTGGGCGCACTCAGGCCCGCTACTTAGCTTTAAGTTTATTTTACGGGTTACGAGCCTTAAAAAAAATGGGACCGTCGTCGTCAGCTCGCCTGGTGACCTTCCGTGTCCTTGTACAATAGCCGCATCTTTCTCGGCCGTCTCCATACTCACTGTTAAACAGTATGCCCGCTTAAAATCCGCTTTCCGCGTTTGCTGTCCGCAAAAAGCCGCTGCCGTATCGTATCACAAGTAATGCCACATACTAACTGGTCACGGAGGCTTTCCTCTAGCCAGCTGCACGTTTTCGACATACGTTTTAAAATTTTAAAATTTAAATTCCGCTATAGTCTCGCCACTATTTTGCATTCTGTGTCTAAATTTATATCTTTCGGCTTATTTACTAGGTTTCGGCTGTAAATGACGTTCCAATATGGCGGCCATCTGTTGGAATGTCTTTGTCTTGGGTCGCTCCGGGGTTCATAAATTCACCAATGATGGTGTTCACTCTTCACATCATTTACGATGAAATATTGTTCGAAGTGTTCAATATACAAACGCCAATCGTCTTATACCTACATCACACATAGGTACGAAGAATGGGTACGAAAACGTACTCGCCGAGTGTTGCTCAGAGGGTGCGCCAGACCTACAGGAAAGCAAATAGAACGCCGAGCGTAGAGATTCCTTTCGTGTACCCCGATACCCTTTTAAAAATTAATCTGTAAACTTAACATTGCCCAGGCATTGGTCACCTTTGCCTTCAATTAACTCAGATCGAAATTCTAAATTTGGCCTTCAACTTCGTCAGGATCTGTACAATTGTCTTTTGTATGTTGACCAAAAAAGCTTCACTCACTGTGTTTCGATAACTTTTCTCCTATAGAAAAATTTTAAGTTTTTTTTTTTCAATCTTGTAAATAAATTTTTTCATTGAATTTGTTTAATTAGGTCTTAAACTTTTCCTTTATTTTTTTTCATCCTAGGCACAGTATTATTCTTCCATCCTCTAAGGTGCATGACCATGACAGATTGCCCGCCAAAATTTTAGGCCGGATTATTACCATTTTATGGATTCTTGCCACTCATAAGTTTATTTATAGTATATTTTCTGGTACGCTATTATAAACATCTCCTTCTTTCATTAAGGGTTTGAAATCCTAAAGGCATCTAGTTTACGTAATTTAAGGTATTTATTTTGTAAATTAAACTGACTTGCATCCTCATACAAACTTTGTCTAACAAAGAATCATTGTCTGAATAATGAGAGCCTTTTGTTAGAAAACGGGGAAATAAATAGCAACATTTCTTGTATAAAATTTGATGCCAGAGTTCTAATCGGACCAATTTGGGTTTCTCGCTGCCAGGTTCCGGGCTGTCGCCGGTCTTTCTAAGTATTTGTGTATTATTACAGTTTTACACTAAATCTGCTGGTGTTTTCGTGTCATATTGTATTGTAATCGTTCTTTTGTGTGTTTAAAATCATCATGAAACCCCCGTACAAAATTGGTAAGTATTATTTTTCAATATATTCTATTAATTTGGGAGTTAATATGAATATAGCACATTTCATTAAGAAAAAGTAATCTACATTGAGGTAGATGTAATGTTATTACACTGTTTTTAAAACGCACGGCATTTTACAATTAGATGGGTTATCTGAGGGTTATGTTTTTACCATGTGTTTCGCTCTCAAGGTCAGTTTCGTTAATAAAAAGATCTATAATAATTAGGCTCTTCACCCAATTCGCGACTTTTTATTATTCACCAGACGTGAGACGCGTGCAAATAAAAAATATGCTATCAATTGACTTAAGTTATCGCATTGTTGTGAGTACTATAATATAAAATAGTTAATCTATGTCAATATTGGATTATTACAATATTTACAACAATAATTGCAGATTAAAATCACTGCTCTTATTTGTAATTTTATCGACGTTAGTATAAAATCTATGCAAACGAGTTTTTACAAACGAGTTTGAGTATCGAAGGATTACTACATATTTTTTCTTTTTTTTTACAATTGGATGAGAGGAGTGACTGCTAGCCATGCTTTGTAGATCATGGAATGGTGATGGGTAATCTTTCAGTACTAGTAACAGTAGCGTTAGAGATATGTGTGCAATAGTTTGTCCAGGGAAGTACTGCCAACGTACCTATTTCAGCCGCCGGGCAGTAATGTGGGCATTACTGCGTTCCAGTTGCGAAGGGTAAGGGTGCTGGTGAAATTACAGGCACATGGGAATGGGACTTGTCAACTTATGTCTTAGACCCCTAAGATCTTCGCAATTAAAAGCTCTTGAGTGGCACTGGCGCATGATTTGTTTGTCCCGTCACTTAGTAATATAAAAAAACTCTGCACGGCATTAGCAGGCTGTCCTTATGGTGATTACAAAGGTTTTTGCTATTTCAGCTGATGAGAGCTTGGCAGATCTTGGTCGCAAGCAAATTATGTTAGCAGAGAAAGAGATGCCAGGACTCATGGCATGCCGCCGCAAATATGCTCCGCTCCAGATCTTAAAGGGAGCACGGATAGCTGGCAGTCTGCACATGACTGTGCAGACTGCTGTGCTCATTGAAACGTTGATTGAATTGGGTGCTGAAGTAAGTATACCTATAATTATTCATATAATTATTGTGGTAGTTGGCAGATAGGACAATGCAACATTGTATCTGGATACGTAAGTTAAAAACAATTGCTAAGAAGGATTTTTCACAATTATTTCTTAGTAAGTATTTAAAATTATCTGCAACCTATACATAACACAATGGGTTGTAACAGAATAATAAACAGGAAACATAGAAATAGAATTTTATCAAGATGTCAATCTACATCACTCTTCACTTCACAAAATATATGTATCTTATCTCTGATAATATGCAATACCTACTTAAAAGGATAAGAATTTGAGACATGTGTTCATCATTATCTGTCACTATGTGGAATTTGTCTCAATATTTTATTGAACTTATTGCCCCTTTATCTTTTACCCTTTGGTCTCGATTTCTTTCTGATTTGTAGTGCCTGATGTAATTAATCTGAGTAATGAATAACAAGTTTTTCTGATTAACAACAATAAGTGATGTAAGTAACTCTGTAATAGGTCCAATGGTCAAGTAGTAACATCTACAGTACACAAGATGAGGCTGCAGCAGCTTTGGTGGCAAGAGGAATACCGATTTATGCTTGGAAGGGGGAAACGGAAGAGGAATATACCTGGTGCATTGAACAGACCCTCATATTCTCTGATGGCAAGGTACATTCCATAACATATTTCAATTTTGTATCAGTGGCCTTGGCATATTTAATTTTAATACGTAATAATATAATTGTTATGTTATGAAAAAAAAATGTAATGGTGCTGTTATGTAAAATTCTATTAAATAAAAATATGTTTTGCAGGCCTTGAACATGATTCTGGATGACGGCGGCGATCTTACAAACTTAGTACATGCAAAGTTCCCTCAATTATTAGAGGGAGTTAAGGGACTTTCTGAAGAAACAACCACTGGTGTACACAATCTATACAAAATGTTCCGTGAGGGACGTCTGAAAGTGCCTGCAATCAATGTAAATGATTCAGTAACAAAGAGCAAGTTTGACAACTTATATGGTTGCAGAGAATCCCTGATTGATGGAATCAAGAGAGCCACTGATATCATGGTGGCTGGAAAAGTCTGTGTAGTAGCAGGATATGGCGATGTAGGCAAAGGATGCGCGCAGGCATTTAAGGGAATGGGTGGCAGGGTCATCGTAACTGAAATAGACCCAATCAATGCCTTGCAAGCTGCAATGGAGGGATTCCAAGTCACTACTATGGAAGAAGCATCTGAAGTTGGTCAAATCTTTGTAACAACTACTGGCAACATTGACATCATCCTCAAAGATCATTTTGTCAGAATGAAAGATGATGCTATTGTTTGCAACATTGGTCACTTTGATTGTGAAGTCGATGTTGGGTGGTTGGAAAACAATGCGAATAAAGTGAACATTAAGCCTCAAGTTGACCGTTATGAACTTCCCAATGGAAATCACATCATAGTTCTTGCTGCTGGACGTCTAGTGAACTTGGGTTGCGCAACAGGACACTCCTCTTTTGTTATGTCTAATTCTTTCACTAACCAAGTATTGGCTCAAATTGAACTTTGGACTAGACACAATGTTTACCCTGTTGGAGTTCACACTCTGCCTAAAAAGTTAGATGAGGAAGTGGCTGCACTACACCTTGAACACCTTGGTGTGAAACTCACAAAGCTGACTCCGAAACAGGCTAAGTATATTGGAGTGCCACCAGAGGGACCATACAAACCAGATCACTACAGATATTAAGATTAAACTTTGTACACCACCTTAAATGCTATTTTTTCACATTTTGTATTAATGATGGTGATGTTAAAAAACAACTTGACTTGTACATAAACTGAACTACAACTTGTTCTGAATAATGTAATAATTCCGACTTGCCGTTACAGTGCATAGATCTTATTAGATGATTAAGATAAGACAAAGAATAAAAGAGGGGTGTGTGATCAAATTAACTTTTATTTACAAATTACTCCTTTCCATTCAACCTACCAAAAAAATAATACTTGTTATTTTTAGGATTTGGAAAACCGTAAACTAGAAGCAGTGACTATAAACTTTTTCTTTAAACAACAAATTACAGTATGCTATTTATTCTGAGCTGAATACATGACGTGATTTGGTTTGTAGAACAATTTACTTGATGTACCTAATATACAAAATTATTTAAAATCAATTCTGCATATTGATTAAAAACAAATTTTTTTTGTATTGTCTGTGGTACGTGTCACGTACTGTTGGTAATTTTTTGAAAAATTAAAAATTGCTACCTTTTCTAAATAATTGCTACCTTTGATATATTCGGAGAAATAAAATAAAATAATTGACCAGCCATTCTGACGTCAGGATGGCTGGTCGCCACTATGTTGAGCTTGAAGGGAGCAGATTTTCCAGAAGTATATATTACCAATAAATGCTACCTATACGAATTAAAGGTATACGCTCATTATCCACATTAGTTAAAAAAATATAACCAATTGAAAATTTTACGAAGAAGTTGAAGAATAATTGTAAAGAAAAATGTATACATCTATTAATTAGTTCTTATATTTCGTGAATGTATGGCCTACATTTATTTATCTCGTGAGTTTGGGTGTAATTTGTGGTTGTCTATGTGTGTGTCCATGGCACCCGCGGACACAGGGTTTCCCTAGTGCGGGGCTATGTTGGGTGTGCGCGTTATTATTATTATTGCTGTAGGGTTTTACGATTCTTGTCAAAACGTTCCTTTTCTTTTAACTGGCTTGGTTTGGTATGGTGTGACGGGCTGGTGTCCGCAACTCGACGTCCAAGCGCCTATAATACGTGTGGTTTTTGAACTGACTTTCTGCGATCTTATTTCACACGTGAGCACGTATTTCATCAGGATCTTGAAGTTCTTACCTATTAGCAACAACTGGGTTCATGATTCCGTCAGAACTTCTGGTTGTACTGAGGCCAAACAACTTCTCACCCAGCTGAGCTACGTTCGGTAATTTTTTGATTGTTTTATTAATCGACCATTGTCTAAGGATACGCGTTAAACTGCAGGACCAACATTTAATTTGAAAAAAAAAATTGAAGTGAAAAAATAAACACGAAGAAGTAAATAATAATAAAATTGCGACTTTTTTATAATTATAACGCACACACTCAACATAGCCCCGCACTAGGGAAACCCTGTGTCGCGGGTGCCATGGACACACACATAGACAACCACAAATTACACCCAAACTCACGAGAGAAATAATGTAGGCCATACAAATATTTCTCCCAGCCCGGGAATCGAACCTGGGATCTCTGCGTTGGCAGTCCGGCATGGTAACCGTTCGGCCATGAAGGCAGTTCTCACACTACGGTCAATGTTCTTGCATATAAACTCGCGGGCCGCTTTAACGGCTCAGCGCAACGTGCAACATCCAAATCAATCTGATCTCCGGGATAAGCTGCCGGGAAACATAGTTTTCCGATTTCTCTCAACATTCGAAAGAAGAGGACTTGCAGTCGTTTCTTCCGCTGCCACCCACTTCTTCACGGGATCAGGCTAGATAAATATCGATAATGGAGTGAAAAAAGGCCCCCAGCTTCGACCTTACCAGGGCTACTTAAGGAGCTCCCCAAGACGTGTATCGTTTTCCTCACAATGCTTATGAATGCCACACTCAGTTCCCACGTACCTAACCTCTGGAAAATATCTCAAATTGTTATGATCCAGAAGTCTGGCAAGCTTGCTACCGAAGCCGCGTCATACCGTCCCATTAGTTTCATCATCATCATCATCAACCCATTTATATGTCCCACTGCTGGGCACGGGTCTCCTTTCAGACGAGGGTTTAGGCCATAGTCCGCCACGCTGGCCCAATGCGGGTTGGAGACTTCACACGTTTTCAGAGGGTTGTGAACCTTCTTCGACGAGCAGGTTTCATCACGATGTTTTCTTTCACCGAAAAGCTCATGATAAATTTCAAATTAAATTTCGCACATAAATTCCGAGAAACTCAAGAGGTGCGAGCCCGGATTCGAACCTACGACCTTCTGCTTGAGAGGCAGTAGGTCAAACCTCGCACCTCGACGAAAGGGGAATCATACCAGACCACCACTTTGGGTTCCGTAAGCAACATTTAACTGTGGAGCAAGTGCACAGAGTCTATCACACCGTTAGACAATGCTTGGAAAAAAAAACGAATAGGTACTGCTCTACGGCTGTCTAGATGTTCCGAAGTACACAACTAACTGGAAATGCCAATGGATCGCGAAGAAGCTAAACGCTATACAGTTTACTGCTGGTGTCGACGACGCCTCGTCGATTCATCTTTCGTCGTTCATCCTTACCGATTGCCCCAAATACTGTTGCCGCCAAACACAATTAGAAGACTGAAAAGAGCTGATGTGTGGTGAGATTAAGGCATTGCCTTTTTGGGAGATAAATTTTATTAATCTTCTGGACACCCTATATCTTCCAACTCATCAGATTATAGTCTGGTTGACGGATTGCAGATTGCAAGAGAAAAAAATTGTTGTTTGCATGATAATAGGTTTATTATTTTACAAAAAGTTTCTGTTTAATGTGTGTAACCTATTACTTTAAGTTTTCTATAGTGCAAGTTTTTGAAATAGATTAATTATGTATAGATAAAAGTTTTCATTTGATCTTAAGCGAATGTATTACAAGTAAAAGAAACATAATCATTACCTACATAAATTTAGTGTAAATGTTTCAGAATTTCGTTTCATGGTATTTATTAAACTGACAGTTCACAAAATGACAGAATTAAATGGCACCAGACAAAACACGCAAAATATCTTTCGTGTATAATGCTAAAAAAGGAAGTATACATATCTATCTCAAGGTCATTATGATGCATAGAAACTTAACAACTCCTCATCTTTAGGTTTAAGAATACATTTATCCTGCAAATTAACAATCCATCCCGGCTCAAGGCCAAAAAAAATTTGGCGAGGATCTTTTCTTTCGCATAACATTTCATAATTCGGATCCGTTTCTAAATTTTGTAACTCATAGCCATACTTTTGAGCCAATTTCAATCTTTCCTGTGAAATCTTCTCAGGATCTGCCAGGTAACCTCGTGATTCCGCACTAGTGTAGTACTCAATACAATCTGGAGGAGGAATCATTCTCCTTGGAAGAGCTTGACCACTTTCAAAAAACTTCATAGGATTGTTCAGTAGAAATAGACTATGTGGATCATAATACGCTGTCGTAATGACTCCTCCATTCTTTTCAATAGCCGCAATTACTTGTTCACTGGCCCATTGCACTTCAATATTAATCTTTGCATTAAAAATGTCTGCACCCTCATCCGTCAAATGAATGCCAAATTCTTTTTGATCTGGTTGTAGTTTATAACGCCCTGATTTGATAACAGATGCAATATCAATAGGTTGTGTGATGTCAATACGATCTTTATCTATTAGTGTTTGCAAGCTTTGTAGTGAAAGGGGTGGGTACTGTCTTCTGTGGCTGTAACAAAAAACATAATTAGAACTAATAAAGCTTGCCACTTATGGTCGTATTCTAGAACTCTACTCAATGCTCAAGTCAAGATTGCACTAGAAACACAAGCACTGGAAATACGACCCTAATGGCAGGGACTTGAGTATGATTTCGAGTGTTTTAAACCATACTCAAATCCTGACTTGAGCATTGAGTAGAGTTCTAGAATACGACCCTGAGGGTCGTATTCCACAACTCCACTCAATCTCAAGTCAGGATTTGAGCAGACTTGAGTATGATTTCAAGCACTGGAAATACGACCCTAATGGCAAGGACTTGAGTATGATTTCTAGTGCTTTGCATCATACTCAAGTCCTGACTTGAGCATTGAGTAGAGTTCTAGAATACGACCCTTTAGAAACTGTTCTTATCATAAGCGGCATAGAGAGCCGGCGGCGGGAGCCTTGTGAGCTGTAATACAGGTCTAGTACCTAGTACGGACTCCAGTCTCACACAAATAGCGGTTATATTTAACTTAACTTTGGGTCTATTTAATGTAAGATTTGTGTTTGGCAAATAAATCATTATTATTATTATCTGTTTTAGAGACTCGCCTCTTCCAAGGCCTAAATGATTCATTTCTAGATGTGAGAGGCGGTATTTCCCGGCACTGTCACAGTCGGCCAAGTAAAATTATTATTATTATAGAATTGAATTTAAATCTGAAAAAATGATAAACTCTGTGTCAGAGCATGGATGTTGTAACTCCCTATTCCGGGGTCTATTTAAAAATAAATAATAGATCCGGTGCTGGTTATGTACGTGCCTAAAATTATATAATAACTAATATTTGGCCGTTATTAAAATATACGTGATCGTCTAGTTGTGATGAATTAAGATTGGACCCTCTACGTTGTGTAATTTTTTATACCGTAAATAAAAGAGTTTAAAAATACGTCGCGAAGTTATTCAAGAGCACAGGACAGTAAATAACTGCCGTAAGGTAAATGGACCTTAATAGCACAAAATAACATAAACCGTTGCCGTTTAAACCGTGTATATAAATTAATATGCAAGCACAAAATGTCGTAAATTAAACCAAATTTGTAAATAATTCATGCAGAAAATAAACAATTAAAGTAAGAACACATAATACTCTTTCAGAGGCATATCTAGAAGGCGAACTATATATTTAATTAATATTTATAATAAAATATTAATTAAATTAGTATATACGTAAATATAATATAAATAAAATATGACCAGTTGCTCCAGTGGTTCTCAACAATGCATTGAACAGCAGATAACCTATATAACGAGAGAAATCCGACTTCGAAGAGACCTTTAGGGTAAGACTTTTAAGACTAGATGAGGTACCTATCTGATAAACAATACCTGGCCTCCCAGCACCCTTATAGCCAGTCCTGTATGAGGTTCGTTAGAAGGTCAACCTGACACCTGCTAATATCTTTAGGTTGACACAAAAGAGAAACACAAAAGCATACGACATGTGACACAGTTCTTGCAATGAAACACGCGCGCACACACGCAACCAACCGTGCACGTGCGTGCGTGCGTGCGTGCGAGCATGCGTGCGTGCGTGTGTAGTGTGCAAGTAACATCTACAAATATCTCTAGGTTGACACAAACGAGAAACACAAAAGCATACGACATGTGATACAGTGCTTGCAATGAAGCATTGGGTAGAGCGGAGGAGATTTAATTATGAGATGGAACCACTCTTCCCCTTATATCATTGAAAACGCAGTGACACTCTAATTTATAAAGCATCAAATTATCACTAACCCTCAGTTCATTCGCACTGTAACTAAACTTAGACCCTAACAATGCAGCTTCGCATCATAAACAAAAAATGTTCTAACATTACGAATAGATACCTAAACAACAATTAAATCATGAACACCGCCGGAATTGTACAATTAAGAAATTAAGAACGATTTAGCCGCGTCTAAATAAAAAATGTGATGATAAAACTAAAACAAAGTCAGTCCAACTGCCACATTGCGTTATAAACAGGATCTAACTAACTACTCAAATTCGCGTGCGACACGATAAGGATCCTATCTCCAACTGTCCCCGAGCCGAGGCTCGACTGCGCGTCCCGAAACCTAGGCACAAACTGACGTCTCTCTGATCCAAGGTTTTCGCCCCGGCTACCGATTTCCCTCTGACTAACTTAACGATATATAATACATAACAAAAATTATATTGAAGGAGTCCTACAGACGACGGTTACAATGTGCAATCTTTTACATACTGGCCGGTGTGACATTGAGTTATTCTTTTTCAAATTTAAATTTACTTTTGTTACCTCGTAGAACTCTCTTCATGTCAAGTTGTGTTTTATTCACGTTATATATAATTTAACAAAAACCTTTATTAAAATATTAAAATCCGTTTTCTCATTTATTGGTAGAGCCGGAAGAGCTCTATAAGGTTATGGGAACCAGCAGCTACTAAATATTGAGTGAACAGATTTAGTACAAAGAGTGTACGAACGTGATTATGTGACATGAATCATAGAGAGATTAATGTTGAGATTAACCAAAGTCCTATAATACTCTAGTTAGAGAAATGAGTACTATGTCGGGGTCTGGACTTTCTGGGATTGAGAAGTTACAAGGAAGTAGCAACTTTGACAGTTGGAAGTATGATATTGAGTGCATATTAGTCCATGATGATCTATGGCAATATGTTGAGAATCCGCCCGCTGCTGATGATACAGTTGCTAAGCGAGGTGATCAAAAAGCACGTATAAAAATTTGCCTACTTATTGAGAACCCTTGTAAGGTACATGTACGCAAAGCAACAACGACGTATGAGACGTGGAAGACTGAAAGCAGCATATGAGGACTAAGGCATTAACAACAGATGTAGGCTGCTATCGAGACTGGTGGGCCTAAAGCTTAATATGTTGAATTCGATAACCGAGTATGTAACAGAGCTAATGAGAGTAGCTAATCAACTGTCAGACCTTGGGAAAGAAATTGATGATTAATTGTTAGCGGCATCGATGCTACAGGGATTACCAGAGGAGTATATGCTTATGAGGTTGGCATTAGAGAATACCAACATAGCATTAAGCACTGATTATATAAAAACAAAACTGTTTCAATTAGATGAGAGCAAAGTTTGCGCAGGTCCGAGCACTCCAGGGTAGAGTTCGGCACTTACTACAATGAAAAAGTATAGAAAAGCTGTTCAGAGGAACAAACAAAAGATCGTGAAGTGTTTCATTTGTGAGGAACCACATAAAGCCTACGACTGCCCGCAGTACCCACATCAATCCAAGACGAGTCATATGGCAACTGCACTGACTTCTGTTCAAGAAAAGAACAATGAAGATGAATGGATTTTAGATTCCGGAGTATCAGCGCAAAGTAGGAAGGAAGGTAGAAGTGTGTTGCGCAAATGGAGGTAAAGTGTATGGAGAAGGTTTTGGTACAGTAAAGAATGGCATTAGTGTGAGTAACGTAATGTACGTACCAGGTCTTGCTTCTAATCTATTGAGTGTAAGCTGTATTGTGAATACAAAAGATAAAGTTGTTGTGTTCTCTAAAAAAGGATGTGAGATCTTTGATATGAGTGAGTGTACGATACAAGGTCAACCATGTATGACAGGAGTACTTGATAGAGGCGTTTATAAACTTAAATGCTTTCCACAGGCCATCGGAATGGTGACAGGAGTAAGCAGTGAGTTGGAGTTTTAGCATAAAAGGATGGCACACTTGGGTATTCGTAACCTCACTTTACTTAGAGATAAACTAGCTATTGGGGTGAGTTTTCCTAATCTTTCTAGTAGACAACTGGACTGTGTAGCCTGTTTGAAGGCCAAACAGACTAGACAACCATTTGAACGCAATAAATCTACGGGAGCTAAAGAGCTTCTAATTGGTACATTCTGATATTATTAGAATAATGAGTGATAAGTCGTTCGGAGGTTTTCGTTTTTATATTACATTTATCGATGACTATTCGCGAAAACTTTTGTAAATTTTCTCAATGCGAAGAGTGAGGCTTTTGAAAAAATAAAGGAGTTTAAGAAATTTGCAGAGACTCAAACCGGAAAGAAGCTAAAGGTGTTGAGGACTGACAATGGAGGCGAATTCGGTAATATGAAAGTCGATAACTTCTTGAGAGAACATGGTATTAAGCGTCAGATTACGATTGCATACACACCGGAGCAGACCGGTGTTGCTGAGCGTACCAATCGCACCATCGCTGAAAGGGCCCGATCTATGCTGCAGGAAGCAGGACTTCCCGTTCAATTTTGGGCGGAGGCGGTAAACACCGCAGTATATTTAAAGACTGGCAGTTAAAAAGATGACTCCTGAAGAGGCATGGACCGGTCGGAGGACAAATCTAAGTCATCTTAGAGTATTTGGATGTGAAGCATAAGTTCACATTCCGGATCAAAAGAGAACCAAATTGGGATTCGAAAAGTAAGGAAACTGTTTTTGTTCGCTATTGCGAAGAATCGAAAGGATATAAAATGATTGATCCTAAAACGAGAGAACTTCATAGAGCACGTGATGTTATTTTTTTCGAAAACCAAACGTATCACGACGTCACAAAATCAAAAGAGAAAAACGTGCCAGTAACTATTACTTTGAGATTGATGATGTGCATTCCGAACCGTTACAACACAGAGAAAGTGTTCAGCGAGATCAGAAAAATTATGAAGAGTAACTTCAATCAAGTGATAGAGATTATGTTGATGAAGTTACTGAAAGAGTAGATGCCGAAGAAGAACAATGGTTGTCATCTGAAGAGGGAACGTATGATCCGGAGACCACATATGAACCTGTAGTGGTAGAACGGAGATACCCACAGAGAGAAAGAAAACCCACTCAATTTCCTGACTTTATCACCTACCAAGTAGTATTTGAAACAGATGATCCTACGACAGTGCAAGAGTGCAAGAGGCATTGTCACGAAGGGATGCAAAGCAATGGAGAGAGGCAATTCTGGAGGAGCTGGATTCTTTAAACAAAAATAAAACGTGGGTTTTAGTAAAGCCTGAGGAAGCAACTAACATTGTTGATTCGAAATGGATATTTCGAATCAAAAAGGAAGCGGGGAATAAAACCCGTTACAAGCCTCGTTTGATTGCACGACTTAGCCAAAGAGTTAGCCAAAGAAGAGGCATTGATTACGTCGAGACATTTGCTCCTGTTGTGAGACATAGCTCGTACAGAATGCTCATAGCTTTGGCGGCCAACCTAGGTCTAAAAATAGATCACATGGACGTTAAAACCGCGTTCTTAAGTGGTGATCTAAATGAGAAAGTTTGCATGCAGCAGCCATCGCTGTTTACAGAAAAAGAAAAGGAAGTTCACGTGTGCTGGTTAAAGAAATCTCTTTACGGACTGAAGCAAGCGCCACGTTCCTGGAACCTTAAATTGTATACTGAGCTAGGGAGCCTCACCAGCAGTGATGACGAGTGCGTGACGGGGATGGGATACATCCGACTGAGCGAGGACGTGGGCGAGGAGCTGCTGTCTACTGATAGCGGTTTCCCCCTCGCTCAGTAAATTTAAAATAGTCCAGAGCAACCTCCACAGTCAGGCCGCAACGGTTCAGCTCCGGAAGTGGTTGGAGCTAACAACACAGCCATGGCGCTAATCCAGGAACCGTGGATTAGAGCCCGTGTTCAAATAAATGGACTCTCACATCTGAGAGGTAAGCTATTATCAACTGCCATCTCAGATAAACCTAGAGCTTGCATATATTACTCTAATAACTTACATGTACAACCACTAACAGAATTCTGTTCCAGAGACCTGTGTGCCGTAAAGCTTCTTAGCTGACGTGGCCACGGGCCTGCCTGAAGTGGTGCTCGCCTCTGTCTCTCTCTCTCTCTCTCTCTCTCTCTCTCTGTCTGTCTATGTGGCGGAGAGTGATGTGCCACCTGCGAGCAGAACGGCCAGAATATCGTCGTGGCTACTGACTCCAATGCCCACCATCCGCTGTGGGGTATGGAACTCGCAAATGACAGATGAAAGAACCTAACAGATACTTATTCACAACTAGCCTTCAAATCCTTAAATAATAAAGGTATAGTGCCATAAATAAAAAAGTAGTTTTATAAATAAAAGATGTAGAACCATTATAGCCCTAAACATAGCATAGATCTTATCCACAACTGGCACGTGTCCGAAGATGCATCTTTCTCGGACCACAGATGATAAGATTCAGCTTAGAAACAGTTATCAAAGCACAATAACCGAAACGGAATCCCCGAAAAACCGATAGTAAACGTTACATTGACGAACTACACCAGAGCCTAAGGGGACCGGTAGTACCGGAAAGACTGCTGGATACGACACAGATTGAAATACAGGTCAAAGAATTGACATCAAACGTATTTAGCAATTATAACTCTGTATGCCCATACTGAGCGAGTCAGCCCCGCGGCAAGGCCAACACTGGTGGGGGCCTGAGCTTGAGAGGCTACGTAAAAGGGTAAGGAGATGCTTCAATAGAGCAATGAACACATGCGCGGATGAGGACTGGGTAAACTACAAGGCGGCCAAATCCAAACTAAAAAAGCGCATACGGTCCAGGAGCACCGCATCATGGCGAGGCTACTGCGGAAACATCACGTCTTGTGCACAAGCGAATAGAATAAGAAAAATCCTAGCCAACTCAAATTCAACTGAGCTAGACTCGATACGCAAAACAGACAACACAATCACAACTTCCTCAACTCTCTCAGCTCAACTGGAAGAACATTTCCCAGGATGCAGGTTCGTCCATGAAGACAGGCGCGAAGAAATGAACTATAATACATCGACCCATAGTTGGCGATACGCTGAACAAGTAGTAACATAAGAAAAGACAAAATGGGCCAAGATGGGGTGTTCCCCGCACTCCTACAATGGGGCGGGGACACACTGATGTGTGACAGAGAAGTGAGGGACGGAGTGCTAAAGAGCATACCTTTAAACGGAAACCAAAATGCATGCACCCAAGGTAAGTCCACTGAATCGGCCCTACTTGCCGTTGTCGGCAAGATAGAAAAGGCCATCAAAAACAAGGCAATCTGCCTAGGCACCTTTATAGACATTGAAGGAGCCTTCGATAAAACGAATTTTTCCAGCATACAATCAGCACTAAGAAGACACGAAGTGGATGAAGTGCTAACCAGCTGGACTAGCAACATGCTCAATCAAAGATCAAAAAGAACAACAGCAAATGAGACCCCATGGGCTGCAGTAGCGAAGGGGTGCCCTCAAGGAGGTGTACTGTCGCCGCTGCTATGGATCATGGTTGTAAATGATCTTATCACCTAACCAAACAAAAAATATTTCTATACAGTAGGTTATGCTGATGACATAACTGTACTGATAACAGGAAACTTTGCCAATACAATCTGCAACATTACACAGGCAGCACACCGGATTGTAGAAAGATGGTGCAGAGCATATATATATATCGGTAAATCCAACAAAGACAGAACTAGTTATGTTTACAACCCAAGTCAAGTACCTGGGGGTAATACTGGACAACAAGTTGAACTGGAACAAGCACCTGGACGACAAAATTATAAAAGGTACTATCACCTTCTGGCAGTGCCATAGAATGGTAGGTAAACAATGGGGACTTTTACCCAAGATAACACTATGGATCTACACAGCGGTGATAAGACCCATGATCAGTTATGGCGCGATAGCATGGTGGCCACGAACCAATCTGACGACCGCAACCGACAAGCTGGACAAATTCCAAAGACTAGCTTGCATGGCGACGACGGGCTGCATGAGGACAACTCCAACTGCGGCCATCGAAGCGATGCTGGACCTGCAACCCCTCCCACTGTTCATCAGACAGGAAGCGGCGTCAAGAGCAGTGCATCTAAACAGAACAGGCCTTTGGAAGCACATGAGGACCCCACATACAGAAATCCTTTACAAAACTGTTAAAAAGGAACCGCTATTGGTGGCAGTTGTGGATAGGATCCCAAAACAATACATTTTTGACAAAAAATGCAAGACACAACTGTTTGAGGATTCCAACAAAGGACTGAATCCCAGAGATATCTGCGTCTTTACTGATGGATCAAAAACAAATTCAGGAACAGGTACTGGGATATTCTCAGAAGACCTCAATATCAGGATATCAACACCGCTTGGTGACCACAATACAGTGTTCCAGGCTGATGGCATGGGTATCAAGTTGGCAGCAGAAGCAATCATAGTGAGAAGAGTAAAGAATCACTCCATTTGAATACTCTCCGACAGCATGTCAGTACTTCAAGCACTGAACAGCAGTTTATGTCATCATAAACTCAGGGCTCATTTACGAATGCCATCAAACACTCATGGACGTATGTATACATAACCACGTAACTCTACAGAGGATTAAAGGACACAGTGGCTCTTGTGGCAATGATGCAGCAGATGAACTAGCCAAAAAAGGGTCTGAGACAAACCCTGTAGGACCAGAACAACAGTGTCCCTCCCCTACCAGTCATCAAGAACAACTATACACAAAGGTACAAAATCTTTTCATAATAACACATGGACAACCCTTATGGTTTGTACACAGGCGAGGGAAGCATTCCCGACGCTCAACGCTAGTCTATCTCGAAAATTATTTAGAAAGCAAGTGCATGGTTGCTGATGCTTTTAACGAAAGCAATGTTAAAGGGCAAGTATGAGTTTTGTCATAGAGAAATGAGTGTGTACTGAGTGTTCACGACTGACAAGGTTTTTTGATAGTATAATGAAAGCCAAGTGTAAATAATTGAGGAGTGTCAAAGCATGGATGTGCACTCTTTTACATACTGGCCGGTGTGATATAGACAGTTATTCCTTTTCAAATTTAAATTTACTATTGTTACCTCGTACAATTCTCCTCACGTCAAGGTGTGTTTTATTAACATTATATATAATTGAATAAAAACCTTTATTAACATATTAAAATCAGTTTTCTCATTTATTGATAGAGCCAGAGGAGCTCTACCATTCTAGATTGTACATATTGCTTATGTATTAAATTGAAAACTCAAGAGAAAAGAAATAGAACACAATTTTCTTACTGGTGACCCCGGTAGTAAAATTCCTGAGGAACTCGTAAGTAAAATGGATTGTTCCCAGTTTCATAGCCAAGCCTCATATAGTTCTGCCTTTGCCCAGATCCCTTGTTACCAGCACCGTGTTTGTCGCCTCCATGCTGACCTCGGCCACGTTTTTGCTAAGACATAAAATATATTGTTAACAACTTGGCTGAAACACTACAATTCATAAAAGTATAAAATAAATTAAGTACCGTAATTTTAGAACCAGGGTTATCCCTGATATTAGCTAAAGAAATCCTGGGAAGCGACCTCATCATATTTAATGACTTCTCTGTAATTTGCCGCGACCCCATATTTGTAAATAACCACAGCACGTGTACATAAAATAATCAATTATCTCATAAATTGGATCCCTTGTGATTGGATTTTTGTTTTTGTTAGGTTATGTATTTTTTTTAATGTATATAATAATGCTGTAAGTTCCGTGGTTTTGCATTCATCCAATAGGTTTGTATTAGTAAAATCAGTCGTTCGACTTTACACAAACGATACAATAACAAAACGCAAAGCGATAACGACGTGCCTGTCAGATAATGACATTGACATTTGTGAGTTGTTTTGAACACGTACGTAAGTCGTAAACTTATACAACGTTCATGAGCCAAATAGGAAATAATAATAAGAAATTTATAATTATTTTGTTAACAATACTTGGAAAGAATGGATTCCATATATAATAACCCCATTCGCCAAAGAATAAACAAAATATTCGATAGTCATATTGTGACAGACAACAGCGAGGCGTTGAGTACAGTGTCCGGACTATGTTCGTCGAATTCTGCTTATACAAGAAGGATACTTGTGAACGAAATTGAAAAAAGGGACATGTTAGTGAATAAGGCTGTTTTAACTGAATACAGTAAGGTTAAAGATAAACTACAAGTGTTGCTGAATTCCTTAACCACACTAGACACTGCCGTAAAAGATATGTCCAATAGATTACACGAATCTAAAACCAAAACCCACCATTTGATAACGCAAACAACGAAATTAAAGTATGAGAGGAGGAAAACCGAGAAAAAACTTTTATGGGTTAATGCTTTTGTCAAGAATTTCCAAATTTCTCCAGAGCAACAAGAATATCTTTACAATGTTTCAGTAAAGACACCTTTAACAATAGAATTTTTTGGGACCTTGTCAAAAATTGAAAAACTTTACGACAACTGTAAATCTTTAGTAAAATGTTGGTATCAAACCTCAGCTTTTGATATAATGGAGATGATAAGCCTACAGCAAGAGGTGGCTATTGAGAAACTGTACCATTGGACTATTGGAGCATGTGTCAGTATTGATTCACCTAACAATGCCTTGGTGCCAAAAGCCTTGGCAAAATTTCAAAACAGACAAGTTCTATTCTGCAACATTATTGATGAATATTGTTCAGCTCGCAAAGTGACCATTGTACAAATGTTTATTGATGCGCTAACAAAAGGAGCTGATAGTGGTTCAAAACCAATAGAATTTTATGCCAATGATGCAAAACGATATGTAGGTGATATATTAGCTTGGGTGTATCAAATTATACCTATAGAAAAGGAGAATCTTGCAACTTTATTCAAATTTTGCAATATGCTAGATAAAAATCAACATATCACAGATGCTCTAATCAGTATTATGGAGGCATTATGTCCACTGCTGAAGGTTCGAGCAGAGCTGATTTTGAAACCTGATAAAGACCCATTAGTCCTGTGGTCTATTGCCAACCTGATCATTTACTATAAAGAAATTATTCAAAATATCATTCCAAAAGGACATTTGATTGACACTTTTGAGGAATTATTGAGAAAGAGTGAAGAAGTGTTTATTATAACACTAGATAGTAAAATACAGAAAGAGTTGAGCCATGGTGTGAAGGCACCACCTTTGGACTTGAATCCTTCAGTTGTTGTAACAGATCTTGTAAGCTTTTTAAGAGATCTATTGGCTGTGATGAACGTTTCAAACAACATTAAAAGTGCAGATAAAAAGATCATTATAACACACATTTTGGATCCTCTCCTCCATGCTCTTAATGAAACTGCATGCCACCTCAGTTCAACTGATATGTCTGTCTACATGCTAAACTGCATCTACCATATACAATGTACTCTGTCATTGTACACAATAATGGATGAATATAATGAAAGGCTTCAAGCACAGTCAGAGGCTCAAATTGATACATTAACTTCTGAGGAAGCTAGCTTCTTGGTTGCAAATCTGAACTTAGGACCAATATACACTATTTTGCAAGAAAAGATAAGCGGCCCTATATCTGCTATTCCTGGCATGGATACAGCAACATTGAAAACATTTTTGAACAAGTTTGATATGTTCTTGGTATCCCCAGATGTGTACATTTTGCCTCAATTAAATTTGCTCCTGAGTCATACACACAAGTCACTGGTGAAAAAGAGGGCTTTTGAAGTAATTCTTGCAATATATGCTCAACTGTATAATGCTTTACATGATCCTGCAAATGGTTATATTGATCCACAAGCAATTGTTCGGAGAACACCTGATGAAGTTAATAAATTATTGATATAGTTTTAATATAATTTCAATTACTCATATATATCTATACATATTATTAAAAAAATAAATATTGCACATTATGCTGTATATTCATTTCATATCCATTGTTTTGCAATGGATACCAAATTCTTTAAAGGCTTAAAAAAGCTAATATCAATAGTTGTAAAAGTGCAACATGCCACAGCGCGATTGCAGTAAAATAAAACAGCGGCGGTGGTGCAGCACTACTTTTTACTGCCCGTTATTAAGTACACAGTTCACGTAACTCCTAAGAAATATAATATTTTAAATATCCACTCACTGGCTAATACGCTCAGAGCAAAGATACTTGGTCTAAGCTAACACGTAATAAGTGGTAGCACGATTCATCACCGCCTGATGCTTTCAAACACATGCTTGCACTATGAAGTGTGCTTATTTTGTTCAACGTGTTACTTATAGCACATAGCCAAATACTTTTCAAATATGATAACAATTTTTCAATTTATTCAGTCATAGTAATGACCTTTTTTGTATATGATGAGATAATTGACGATTGGTCTTAGTACTAACCAGTAATTGCATTAATATTAAACAGCGGTCTAATAAAGCCATTCATACGTGGGCACCCTTTGAAATACAAACATACAGTGTATTAGCTAAGTAGCGCATAATAGTGTCTGAGCAGTCTCCTGTCTGTGCGGCGGACTGCCATGCAGGTAGCGAATGGGCCGATATACTGTCCCATTTAAAAAACACTATATTTTTTATTGTTGAAAGTCGTACTTAGCGCCAAAAAATTTGTTTGAAAAGTGGGATCACGTCAAACTTCACACTTTGGACCGATCTTTTCCTAGGGTCGTATTCTAGAACTCTACTCAATGCTCAAGTCAGGGTTTGAGTATGATTTAAAGCACTAGAAATCATACGCAAGTCCTTGCCATTAGGGTCGTCAAGTCCTGACTTGAGCATTGAGTAGAGTTCTGGAATACGACCATTAGAGGATGGAGTTATTTTCGTAAGCGGCATATAGTTGGATTTAAATCTTAAGTGTCAAGCTTAACGTGCTCTTGACCTTTGAGGATTGATAAATAAGATAAAACCTTTAGAATAACGGTTTTATTCCACAAAAATATTTGACAACAATGAACTAAAAGACTATCAAATGTAAAGTTCAAAATAGACATTAGAAACTAAAGAGTTAATATTATGACATTCTATCAGCCTTGAAAATAATCCTCGAGGTGGGCTGGTGGGTGTCGCACTCTTGCAGACCTTCGAATCTCTGGTTCGGTGTCCGCTGGAGGTTCAGGGTGGTCTATGTCTTCAATCTCATTTTCAGAATCAGAAGATCTGGTTTCAGAATTTTGAGATGTAGGATTAGGGTCCTCCACTTCATTGGAGTTTTCGTTAAGAGCCTCAATATTTGTTGTTTCATCTACCATTATCTGACTATCTAGGCTCAATGGTGCTAAATGTCGGTTGGAAACAGTTGTCTCTCGACCGTCCTCATAGCGAACATAGGAGTAGTCTGGATTTACGTGCAGAAGAGTCACTTCTTCAACAATAGGTTGATACTTGTTAGTACGATTAAATTTTCTCATTAATACTTTTTCTGATTCCGTCAGCCAGGTAGGTATAGATACTCCATTCGATGACCGCCTGGTATGTGTAAACATTCTTTCGTGCGGCGTACAACAAGTCGCTGTGCACAACAAAGATCTGATACAATGTAAAGCTTGGTTTAGAACCTTTTCCCAATTTTCTATTGGTAGGTTCTGCGAACGTAGAGCCAATTGCACTGATTTCCAAAGAGTTCCGTTAAAACGTTCAACCTGTCCATTTCCTCTTGGGTTATAAGGTGTAGTTCTGCTCGACGCAATACCACGTGAATTTAAGAAGTTCTTTACTTCAGTAGATATGAAACAGGTTCCTCGATCTGAATGTAGATAAGACGGCATACCGAATAGCATAAAAATTTCATTTAAATGTTTGATTACCGTTGAAGAGTTCATGTCTGGGCACGGAAATGCAAATGGAAAGCGTGAGTATTCGTCTATTACTGTAAGAATGTATTTATTTCTCGTATTAGAAGGTACTGGTCCTTTGAAATCGATACTCAGTCTCTCCATAGGCGACGTAGCTTTTATCAAAACTGGATCAATTGTAGGTTTGTAAAATCTTGGCTTTATTTCGGAGCAAATTTTACACGACTTAGTCATGTTTTTAATTTCTTCCGTAGAATATGGTAGATTCTTTGATTTAAGCCAGTGGGTCATTCGTGCTATGCCCGGATGACATATATCATTGTGCAATGAATATAACTTTTCATTTCGTGTCGATATTGAGCTGCATACGCGTGAGAGTGCATCCGCTGCATCATTTTGTTTGCCTGGACGATATATGTATAATGTCATACTTAAATGGCGCCAACTCCAGACGCCAGCGTTGTATTTTCTCATTCTTTATTTTGCTCGTTAGTTTATTGTTAAACATGAAAGATACTGATCTTTGGTCAGTGATAAGCCGGAAGGGTTTGCCGATAAGAAAATGACGCCATTTCTTCAGCGATTCGACGACAGCGTAAGCTTCTTTTTCTATCGCCGAGTGATTATGTTCACTTTTGTTTAGCATTCTGGAGAAAAAGGCAACAGGCCGAGAAGCCTGTGACAAAGTTGCTGCGATAGAATGATCTGACGCGTCTGTTTCCACGGTTAATGGTGCGTTATGATCAATTGCATGAATACTTGATTTGGCTATATCTGATTTGAGTACATTGAAGTTTTTGACTAAATTGTCGCTTAATGGAAATATCCTTGCATTAGTAAGATCGTGAACTTTTTCTGAAAAATTTGGAATCCACTTGCTATAGTGTGCAAACATTCCTATCACTCTTCTCAGTGATGATAGATCAGATGGTGGTGGTAAGTTCAGAAGTGGGCGCAAGCGGTCTGCATCCGGTTTGATAATGTTGTCTTCTATGTTATAACCCAGAATATTAATAGAGTTTTGTGAGAACTTACTCTTTTCTTTGTTGAGAGTGAGGCCATATTTCTGGGCAGCTGCCAAGAATTTCTTAAGATTTTTGTCATGTTCAAGCTGGGTCTTGCCACAAATTGTAATATCATCAAGATAAGCGAACGTTCCCTTGAGATCTTCTTTTCGGATTACCCAATCAATCGTCCTTTGAAAACTTGAGACGCCGTTTGTAACGCCAAATGGAATTCGGAGAAATTGGTATAAATTTCCTAAAGCCTCAAAAGCCGTAAAATGACGTTCTTCGAGCAAAATAGGAACTTGATGATAAGCACTTTGCAAATCTATAGCGCTAAATATACGATATCTAGATATTTGTGACACCAGCTCCTCTATGTTTGGTAGAGGGTACGCATCTAAATGAGTATATCTGTTTATAGTTTGGGAATAATCGATGACAAGACGCTTCTTATGGTTGACATTTTTTGTGATAAGGACTTGAGCTCTCCAGGGGGACGTGCTTTCTTCGATTATTCCATCAGCCAAAAGTTTCCTGACTTCCTCTTTTATAAATTCTTTGTCATCCTCACTATGTCTTCTCGATTTTATAGCAACAGGCTTAATTTCAGGACATACATTAGAAAACAGTGGTACGGCAGGCACGGTAGCTGCAGCAACACTGCATACATTAACTTTGATAGGTTCCTTCAAACCACCAAAAGAAAACTCTAGTGAAGAGTGTTGATGCAGAATATCATGTCCAATGATGAGATCAGCGCATAAATTCTTTACTATGAGTAGATTCAGATTTTTGTACTCATAATCTCCAATTTTGGCAGAGACGCTAGTTTGTCCCTCTACTTTGGAAGTAAGAGTAGTCGAAGCCATTGAAATTCTCTGGTTACTCGGTTTCTTTTTTAAACGACAGAGATTAAAGAATTCCTCATCCATAAAACTAATTGAGCTGCCTGTATCGATTAATGCTTGGGCGCGTATCCCTTGAACGTACGCCGTTACAGTAGCCTTTCTAAGCGAGTCCGGCGATGCCGCTATTATACAAGCACTAGTTTTATTACTTTCAGTTTCGACTACTGATGCAGCAGTCTGTTTCTTGCTACGACATACTTTAGCTAAGTGTCCTTTTTTTTCACAAATCTGACAGGTAGAGTCGAGTGCTGGACAATCTTTTCTAGGATGCACGCGACCCCCACAGAAGAAACATTTTCGCTTGAAGAAAGACGCTGCTGATGATTCTTCTTCCTTTGATGAACCTTGTACAGCATTCAAATTTGAAGATTCGTAACTCTGTGAATTCATCTCCGCCATTTCTAACGATCTCGCCTGATCATAGGCTTTGTCAAGAGATAGAGTTAGATTTTCAAGCAATCGCTGCCTGATTTTACTCGAATTGAGACCAGTAATAAATGCGTCTCGAATATTATCGGATTTATTCGTTTCAGCATCAACCTTTCCAAATTGACAATCTTTCGCTAATAATTTTAGCACCTGCATATAAGTATCAATGCTCTCATCGTGCTTTTGTCTCCTAGTAGCTAGTATATACCTGGCATAGACTACATTTTTTGGTTTATTGAATAGTTTGTCGAGTATGTCTAGGGCTTCTTCATAGGTAGTACATTCACTTATGTATGCGAAGATTGTTGGAGATACGTGGTTTATAAGTATGTCTATTTTCATACCAGCTGTTTCTTTTGTAAAGTTCGATAAGAAATTCTCGAACGTCCTCTTCCAGTGCTCCCATTCCTTGGAGGCGGAATTACCGGTTGGATCAATGTTCAGTTTATCGGGACGCAGAAACCGTTCCATTTTATTTATTCTGATAACATTTTGTGGAATAAATTGATAAATAAGATAAAACCTTTAGAATAACGGTTTTATTCCACAAAAATATTTGACAACAATGAACTAAAAGACTATCAAATGTAAAGTTCAAAATAGACATTAGAAACTAAAGAGTTAATATTATGACAAGGATGGAAAAAAAAGAGCTCTTGACCCTGTACTAGCACAGGCAGAGAGCACATGATTATGAACAAAAATCTTGTGCCGTGAATGGGGCCATAGATACGTGGAACAACGAAACGCTGCTTTTGGCGTTGGGCATTGACAATTCACGATTTGCTCTGGGCCTTTTGGAGAGAAAAGTGTCGTTTTTATTTTGACTTTCAATTATTTTGTGAAATCTAGTTTAAAGTGGAATAGGATAGCACTATGGTGCCTTAATCGAAGATTAAAACGCGAAATTATACGAATCTCGAACTAAAATACCCGTATCGGCCCGTTCTAAGGAATCCTGAGTCAATCCAAGCACGAGGCCATATTTACAGAAACATAATTAAACGAAGACATGGCTCAAAGAACTTGTATCCAAGCCAAAATTATTAATAAAAAATAATAATTGACAATTCACTTTTAATTTGTAAAGGGGAAGATTTTGAGGGGAGGGAGAGAAAGAGATTCCAAACAAGAAATGTACAATGTGTATTTAAGACAATTTTGTAAAATTCGTACTCGACGGCCTACTTTTCATAGCGTATTAAATAAAATGGCAAAAAGTTCTTTTGAATATGTGAAAAATTACGAACTTCATGACACGCTGTTACCGAATACGTGGATCGTCGTGAGAGTGGATGGAAAGTGTTTTCATAAGTTTTCTGAAGACCACAACTTCGAAAAGCCAAATGATATCAGGGCTTTGAACTTGATGAATTATGTCGCGTACTCTGTCTTTAGAGAATTTAATGATCTGCTTATGGCATTTGGACAAAGCGACGAATATTCATTTGTTTTTAAAAAACAGTGTTTGCTTTACAAAAGAAGAGCTTCAAAGCTGTTAACGATTATTAACAGCAAGTTCTCGTCGTCATATGTTTACTACTGGGATAAATATTTTCCAGATGTGAAATTAAAGTATCCTCCTGTGTTTGATGGCCGTGTAGTGTTGTATCCTTCTGAAGAGAATTTAATAGATTACATGAAATGGCGGCAAGCAGATGTTCATATAAACAACTTGTATAACACGACGTTTTGGTCACTCGTTTTGAAGGGCAACCTAACTCCAGCTGAGGTTAGTCTGCGTTGCCACAAAGGTTACTTTCAAATGACTGAAACCACAAAATTTCTATAAACTTCAATTTTTATGTTTTTTGCCACAACATTAATTACAATACATTGATTTAAACTTGCACAATTTTCACACCGTATTTGATTTTAAAATCAGTACCTTATCATATATACCCGTGGTCTTGAAGGGACAATTAAATCACATTTTTAGAATCAAACAATTAATTACTACACAAAAAATAAGATTCAGCCTAATTGCTCATGTAGATTAAATAAAAATTAAATATTCTTAAAAACTGTTCAGTAATTATTTCACTTTAATTATTGGTAAAACAAGGTGAAAGCTGTGTCCAATAGGAATGGGTGTTACAAATCATATATAGTTATTGAGTCTATATATTGTGGCAATATTGAATATCTGATATCATGTATCTTAGAAACTATATATTGATATTGCTCCGTATAGCATATTTCATAGCAATGCTGAATCAAGCCGAGCGATTACCGAGTGGATACACGAAAGCATGTATTTTGCAAACTATATACTGATATTGCTTTGTATCAGATATTCACTGAGTAGATATCAAAGTGAAACCACTTTCTGTGCGTCCTCAAAACTGTATACTAACATTGGCCCACATTGCTCTTGTAAAATTATATCCAATAGTATATAGTTTCGAAATCGGATTCCGAAAATCAGTAATGGTAATGTATCAATACAGCGCGCATGCGGGCTGTGTCCATGAATATATAGTTTGTGAATATTGATATATAGTTTCGATACAATATTCAGAAAGAGCATATTACCCATTCCTAGTGTCCAGACTAGCAAATGGAAACCTGTGCTGACCTCAGTTAGAAAATGGTCTGATTTATGCCTAAAAGCACTAAACTAGCAACACTATATTGATAGTGGGTATTTCCAGCAGGGATTATAGTGATATTAGCAAGAGCTCAGAATCGCTTATGTAGTGGTGTTCCATTCACATAAAAACCATGAATACAACCACAAATTCTTCTGTATATATAAAAATACCACAACACACATAATTCTGAGCTCTCGCTAATATCACATCAAATGAAAAAAAAAGGATATTACATAAGCGGTAATAAATAAATGCTGGTAATATTTATAAATATTACTGGCCATAAATTTTGTACTAAATAGTTTTGTTTCTGTTCAAGGCTGAAAAGCGGCTGTGTGGAACTGTATCAGCTGACAAGAACGAAATACTATTCAAAGAGTTTAACATTAACTACAACAACGAACCTGAGATATTCAAAAGGGGCACTTTATTGCTCAAGAAAACTGTAAATGTGGAAAACTCAGGAAAGTGCATGACTGTAATAGTTGATGTTCATGATGATATGCTGAAAGACAAATTCTGGACTTCTCATGCTAATTTACTGACAGTGAAATCATTGAAACAAAATTTAATTTACAATGGACCTCTTACTAATATAATAAGTGAACAAATTAATAATAAGGAGACTAGTTAATTAATGTTTTTTTTTTTTCAATAAAATTTTTCGAGCTTGTCTTTTAAATATACACATCAGTATAAATAAAACATTTTCTATTTTATTTAACTTGATTTATTATCGATCTAATGCAATTTATACAGTTATACATTTCTAAAACAAAATTATTTCTTCCAAAATACTTTTCCAGTTCCATAACCAAATTAAACAGAAAAAGCAATTTGTAATTCAAATAATACTCTTACATACATTAATATAAATAGTAATTATCAATAACAATGGTAGTTATCAAGATGCCTTTAAAGTTGTAAGTTGGGAACATGAGGCATATTTGATATAAAAATAAATGTATTTAACACTAGTGTAAAGCCATCTACTCCCACAAATGGCAAAACAGTAACTTTTTGAAACTATATGAAAACGAAATTTACTATAAATATAACTTGATGCTATGTACAGTAAACATTTTTATTAAGAGTACTGATTATAATGGAACAATTTAATGTCCTTAAAAATTACATTATAACATCCCATACACTATTCTTTGCATCTGCAATTATATCTTAAATCAGATGCGTAAGTTACTGATGTTTATGAATTTAACTGAAGAATAATCTCAATTTGTCTAGTTCAAATTTTCGACTTAACTGATTTTTTAACCTGGGTAAAAGTACTTTGTACACGGATTCTTTCATTTAATGAACAGAACATAAAGTATATGAATAAATTCTAAGAATGTCATGCAATTCATAACATGTATCTTAGAAAATGGGAATGTAGTTGTCAATTTTTGCACGATGTTTCTGGGCGACGCATTCACTGATCCACACAATGTTTCGGCACTCCTGCTCTTTAAGCTTGAGGTATGCATAGAACACCCCAAAGTGGAATTGTTGCAGGAATGCATTCACATTCAGGTTCACCTGGAAATTACAAATAATTTTAAAATTGAATACCAACAATAGCTGAAATACTTTTAACACCAGAGTGTTGAAAGTACAATGTCCATGGACGTTGCAATATATCCAAAATGTCGAGGTAAATAAAATATGATTTATATTTGATTAAGTCCCGAATTACAAATCAAATAATGTGTAAAAATCGTGAAAGTTTAAATCAAAGTATAATAAACTTCAATCTTTGTAAATTTTACCAGTACACAGTACACTATAATCATACCTCGTGTTCAAATAGTTTGTCTTCCAGTGTCTTGTCTCCGACACCGGAGCCTGCTCCTTCAAAGAGTGCAGAATACTCAGCATAATACTCAGCAACTGCCTTAACCTGCTCATAGTCATCAGCTCTTGCCAGGGCAGCCAGGCCATCAGGATTCAGTTTACCACAGCGAGGATAGAGCTTGGCACGGTCATCCTTGGATAGCTCGGTACCAAAAGCATTGATGGTTATAATGGTGGCACGACGGTCAGCTTCAAACTAAACCAAACATACATACACTAATAATAATATTGAGAAAATATTAATAATTCAAATGATATTAACATTATTTGCCAGTAATGTTAATATCAGTAGGCAGTAGAGCTCCTTGTGAAAGAGTTTGTCCAGGGTAGTACTGCCACCTTACCTATTTCCGCTGCCAAGCAGTAATGTCAGTATTACTGTGTTCCGGTTTTGAAGGGTAAGGGTGCTGGTGAAATTACTGGCACATGGGACTTGTCAACTTATGTCTCTGGGTGACGGGCACAGTGGTAGTGCACCTCAGATCTTTGCAATTTAAAGCTCTGGGTGGCACTGTAACTGTTATGGACAGGCGTGTAGCTTACCATCAGGCGCACAACTTGTTTGTCCCGTCTCTTGATGTTATAAAAAATCATTGTAAATAAAAAACTTACAGCAAGAATTTCACACATGACATCAGCAGTGGAGCCCCCAATTTTCTTGCAGAAGTCATAGAAGGCTTCCAAGTATGCCTTATAGAGGGTGTTACGAATGATCTCAATGTTCATTTCATCCAAGTCCTGCTCGCTGATGCAGTCCACAAAAAATGGAGCGAGAGGAGTATCTACAAGGACAGCATTGTACAACTCAGCAGGTGTAGCAGCCACATGAATAGCTTCCATTTGCTCAAAGGATCCCAAAGGATGACATTTGGGGATCAATTCAGAGATTGGCCTCTGGTGCAGAGTGCCAGTGATCAACAAGATGATGTTGTCAATCATGTAACTGTAAGTGATGAAATCCAGGAATGTGGAGAGAGGCTCGACTGAGTGGTTCCTGAGATGCTGAAACTCAATGACAAGTTTCTCGCGCAGCTTGTCATCGATTGTTGAGACGGAGAGTGGACTTGGTTCATTGGCAAGGAAGGTACCATAATCGGTACCTTGTAGGTGAAGTTTTAAATCTGAAAACAATAATAAAATTTAAATAGTCTTCAATCTTTTGGGAGGTTTGCGAGAAAGAATAAAAACATGACGCAAATATCAAGACTCCAAGTTGTTGGTAGGCGTACACACCCTATCACGAGACGATAATTTTTAATTTATGGATAAAATGTATTCAAAAAATACTGTCAGATTTAATGAAAAAAACTATTATATACAAACAATTGGCTCATTACCTTCCAATGTTTCGCATTGCACCAAGTTCAAGTAATCTGATTGCTTCAGAATACCACACTTGAAACCACGGCACAAACCCTCCAAATAACCAGCGTCAATGTTAAAAATGCAACCCTTCATTTTATAGATCTTCTCTCCGTCCTTTTTTATTGGATTCACCTGAAATAATACGTTTAGAACTCGCTACACCACAAATCCAAAGATAGAAGGAAATCAGTCGATCATTGATCATATGATTTACCCATAGACAAATGAAACAATATAAATATTGTAGCCATAATCCTTTCGAATTTCGGCCAATTCAATATTATAAAAAGCGAGATCTTACCTACTACTACTATACCAAGTTAAAGGTTTGGATTCCAAAAAACGTAAACAAAAAAAATTACCATTAACCAGAACGGGGTTATTGTAGCACATTTAATAGCAAAGTAGATAAGATAAAACTTAATCTCATCAAAACTGTAAGAAAGGCCTAAATTTTAGAAAATGGTACCACATAGAGATTTGTTTTGTCTCTGGTAGAATTGTATATTTTTATTAAGTCTTTGCCTTGGATATAAGTACTTTGAGCCATGTCTTCGTTTTATTATAGGGATCCTCGCATTGTTGTGATATAACATTACGTTTTCACTTTCTCCTATATAACAACTTAGTTCTCTTGTTTGGTCTTTCTGAGACTCAACTCACACTGGCGCAGAGTCGAAGGGTCGCGACGCGTCATGTTTTTCGCCTTAAGCATATTCATCTCTATTTTCCCATTATTAAGGTACAATTGAAAATCGTTTTAAAATTTTAGTTCTAAAAAAGTTCTAAAGTTCTAAAAAATTCTAAAATGAATTTAACAACGTTGTAACGTTCCGTTACAGATTTTACTATTTTTGAACGACCTTAAAGTGATTTAGCGATGGGATGAGTTGTATTTGTTTCAACTCGAGTTGATGTGCTTGCTGATTCGACTCGGTGTTTGACTGGGTGAACGGTGAGCCGCAAGTAGAACTCGAACCGAACGATTCACCGAGTTGGGCACGATTGGCCAGCTGATGGCAAGTTGGGCGTGCTCCGAAGGTCGCCGAACAGACTGAGTGAGAACGAGTAGCCGATGAGGTGCTGTATGAATGAAGTATTTAGCTCAGCGGGGTGGGTACAGAATCGAGTTAGCTCGAGTTGATAAAAAGTAGCCTAATTTGACTCGTTATGGTAGCATCTCGCCGTAGAAATTCACCGAACCCACCGAGTGAGAACGAATAGCCGTTGTGCATTGCGCTGTATGAATGGAGTAAATTAGTAAAGTAATTCGGCTCGGCGCGGCGCGCGGAGGAGCGGCTACCGATTCGAGTTCATGAAAAAGTAACTCGAGTTGACTCGTTGTGGAAGTAACTCGAGTAAATAACTCGACTCGCCCATCGCTAATGTCAATGTTATTAAAGTGCACTGTTGCCAGATTAGGTGATTTTTTGCCATTTAAGCCTCAAAGTATTGAGGAGTCGCGCGGCGACTAAAAAAAAGTGATCGGCGACTCGGCGACATTTGGGATATTTGGGCTATGTTTGAAATAGGAAAAGGATTTTAGGCTACTTAATAAAATTTCAGGGGAATTACAAATTTTTTTGCGGATTTTGTGGGAAATAAAGTAACTTAACTTAAATAACTCATTTGGGGGTTTCAGTATTTTTACGTGTGGGGAATTGGCGAAATAAGAGAGTTCATATTCATGTCCAGCAGTAAGCAGTATTGTAGAATTGATTGTTATGGATTTTATGGATTGGGCGAATATTGGCTACATAACGCACATAATTAGGCGAATTAACTTTGCAAAAGTCTGGCAACACTGTTAAAATGTCAATGTCATTAAAAATTTATTCACTTCACTTTTTATTTTTATGGCTCCATCAATATGAGAACTGGATGATTTTGCCAATG